ACTAAATTTTTTGGTATGCCACAGAATCTTAGTCATTGGTTTATGTGTGCCATGAGATTAAAAGAAAAGGTTGAAAATTGCTAAGTATTAAGTGGAAGAACTAGTTTCATTTCTCCAAAACTAAGAATAAAGAAATGTTGAACTGCACTTTGTTTTATAATTGATGTATTAAAAAATGGTGAATGGGTGAAGGGATTCTCTCACTGCTAAAAACGTATTTAAATGGCTAATGAGAACTTCACAATGCATTGTAAGGTACTTTAATTTTCATAAGACTGAGGAGATGAGGCCAGAAATACCAAGAACTTGATTCATTTTTTAGAATGTGACTTGGAATTTGCCAGAAACGTGTGCCAGGTCTCTCTTTACCTGGATTATGAATCCCCTTTGCCTTGATGGAGACAGAGCTTTTGAAATATTTTCCTCATTGGATACTAATGAGCAGGACACTAAAGAGGTTACTGTTTGCTCTTCTCCTCCTCTCAGGGACAGCTTTAAGTGGCTCAGAGTCCATCTGAGAGAGAAATACACCTAGTACTATGAGGGCACCCAAGAATGCCCTCTAAATAAAAACATTTGTTGTTCTGCCTAATGGTGTAAAACATTTCACCTAATATTTTAAACACAGATCCACTGTAAATGCTGAGTGGGCATTATGAGGTCTGGCACGGCTTACACGCAGGCTGAACCCGTGCGGGGGTGGGGGTGTGTAAGGTGGTGGTGCTACGCAGTGCCACGCACAGAGAAGAGCACGTCGGTGAAAACTGGTGTGCGCAGGTGTCCAAGGCAGGGTTTGGGCTGTCTTTAATCTCCTTCGCCTTGTCCGTCCTCCTTTGAGGCCATCTGTAAAGATGCGCCAAGGATCCCTTTCAGCCTTTGGCTGGGATTTGCATCAGTAGTCATCGTAAACCTGCTGTCTGGACAAAGGCGCCCTTCCCTTTGAAGTAATTGCCCCAGCTTTTCAAAGCAGTCCTAGAGTCTGTCCTCTTTTTCTTTCTGGTTTTCTTTAAGATGAGTTTGAAGTGTAGCCCCTTAAACTAGCAGCAAGAGAAATTTTTCTCTCAGCTGTATTGAAAGCCATGACGATCTTTCCAGCACTAAGGCTTTCAAAGGTTCCCAAGGGAGTCTGTTCCTCTTTGGGGTGGAACTTTTGGTAGATCCTACTATCTCCGAAAGTAAAAGGGGAGACTTTTTATATCCATTAACTACTGCAAATTTTTATCATAGAATTAGCTTGATATTTTCCAGAAGACTCTGCCTCCCCCCATTATTTATTTGTTTCAGAAACTTCCGTGAGAGATGGTGATAGCTTTGGGGGTCCCTGAAAAAGTAACATATGGCCAGTATTGTCTTTTCTGAGCTGAGTCCGCGACCACCCCCAGTATTAACTGTGCACCAACAAGTGGTTGGGAGGAGCAGGTCTCAGTGAGCGCTGCAGAGAGGAGGAGTTAGGTGCTTCCTAGATCGTGTTTCTAGGCTTTGCACGCGGGAAGGTTTGCCTTTTCCTTTCTGTGAATCGGGGGTTTGTGTAACCGCGTGCCCATGGAGGTATAGATCCTGTGAGCCACACGTGAAGCCTGTGTTCTCCCTCTGATGACAGCCCTGCCCATTGCAGCAGTGGTTCCAGAAATAACTGTCGAGTGTAGTTTGGACCTATTGGGTTTACATCCCATATCGTATAATTCTATTTGCTATAGCAAAATATTAATATTTAAAATATTTGGTCTCTTGGCATTTGTAAAAATCCAACAAGTACAGATTTTTTAATGAGAAAATAAAAAGACCACTCAGCCCACACAGCAGATTGTAAGGGAATGCAAAGGTCCGTCTTAAACCAGGACTGGAAACAGCTTTTCTTGGAGGAAGTGACATTTCTCCATGTGTCGTAGGTGGATTTTTAAAGGCCGTTAATGTGCATTTCCTAAAGGGAGGGAAGTTAAATAACACAAATCTTTTTACTGGAAATCCAGTCAGTGTTTGTGAAACCAGCTACCTGAGAAGAACCCGGTGATTATAAGTCTGCCCTTATGCTTTTAATTTGTTGTTTTTCTTTTCCTTTCCCCCCTGTATTTCCTGAACTGTCTGACCTGCTTCCTGGGTTAGGGAACATTTTGCCAAACTTTGAAGCCAAAGTTCCTAGCATTGAACAGTTCTTTATTTGGAGATTGGGCCCTAGGAAAAGAAAAACCTTTTTTCAGTTTTGCAATTACATAGTGTGTGTGTGTCTTCTGATTTTTGGAGGGAAAAATGATTGGTATAGTGTGGATACTTGGAAAGTAGTATTTGGCAAGTAAAGCGTATTTATTAAAATTTTAATTATGAGTTTGTAAAAAGGAATGCTCATGCCTTAACCCACTTTATGGGGTCGATCAATGAGGCTCTCTAAACTGCAGCTTTATAGGCAGAGGAAATTCTCAGTATGTCAACTCTACATTAAAGAAATGCAGTTGACAGCAGCCTTCTCACCTCCTCCCCGCACTCCTGAGAAAATACTCCTAGATCTAGGAAACCAAGAGTGAGCGCTGACGGGCCTCGGTGACAGTGTCCTCCGTGCCTGCGGGGGCACCCGCCCGCCCGCCTGGTCTGCACCTGGCCTGCACCCGGCCTGCGCTCAGGCTGGGCTCAGGCCGCCCTCGGCCGCCCTTTGGACCTGCCTTCGCCACTGAGGGATTCCAAGACCATTCAAATGAAAACACACATCTCACCCACTCGCCCCCTAAAACAGAAAAGGAACAGTCGCTGAAAATGTACGCCCTAGATCTTAATGATTTTAATTATTGATTTAAATGAGTTACCAATATAATTAAGCATTAATTTCAAAAATAACATGGTAGGTACTTTTGTGGAATGTAGAGGATCTTGGGAAAGAGAGAAACCTGTATGATTCTATATGAACCTACCGTACTTTTAGGACTATAAGACACACCTAAGTTTTAGAGGAGGAAAATAGGAAAAAAAATTTTGAAGCAAAAAGTGTGGTAAAATATTTAATAACCTGTGACCCCACTTCACTGCCGCCCCCACCCCAGCGAGCCAGGTAAGCTACATTTGGACTATAAGACGCACGCCCCCCCCCCAGTTTCCTCCCAAATTCGGGGGGGAAAGTGCATGTTATAATCTGAAAAATACGGTATATGAAAGAGAGGCTAAAGTACTGGTAACTTTTTAAAAACGTAACATCAATTTCTCAGTCGCAAGTCTTAGCTCTAACAGAAAGTTAAGTAGTTCAGATTAACTTAAATTGTGTACTTTCTTTTCTTAAAAATTTCCCCAAATTTGTATTATACTTTTTGAGGGGAAAAAAAGGTGCCCTTGTGACAAATTATTTATTTGGAAAATGTCAAGTAAAACTTTGTAATCAGGGTAAAACCTACACAGAAGTTTTTAAACTTGGAATGAAATGAAACCAACCTTACGCGCCCATCCATTGGCCTTTCCCTGGGTCTTCTGAGGTCTCCGCCTGTGGCAGAGCGCTCGGGCCAGCCCTGGGGTCTCGCAGAGTGGGACGTGCTGCCCCCCTACTTGAATCTCACCCCCAAGTACCGCCATCTCCAAAGCCACGACAGACACTGCGGACACAGCTGTCCTGGGGGGCCCTGTGCCACCCTGTGGCATCGTGTGCCAGGCCGGGCGGGAAGGAGCTGCAGGTTCCCCGGGGGTGTCTCACAGCAGAGGCACCCGCCTGCTCTTGGTCGTGGATCTCTGCGCACCCCGTAAAACCCGTTTTCCATGCCTCCCCCAGCCCCTGCAGACCGACATAGGCATGCACATATGTTTTGCATGACATTTCAGAGAACCTGTTGACCCATGAAGAAACCACTGCTTTGGAGTTAATTCTTTGGTCTTTCCAAGGACAAAGTTTTTTTGCTGGATTTTCCCTGACCTCCCAGATCTCTCTCCTCAGTGCACGACTGTTCGAGGACAGCCAGGTGTCTGAGTCAGGGCAGCGTGTCACTCTTTTCCGCAGAAAGCAGCGCCCCACTTTCCGGCACATCAGCCCCGTCTGGATGCACAGTGCCACTTGTCAGTAGAGCTGCAACACCGGTCCAGGTCCAGGGAATCTCGAGACGCTAACAGTCGGCTCCCCAGTCCCACTTATAAAAAGGCTTTTTGTGTCTTGGTCCTTAGTGACTCACATAATAGTAGAGGACTGGTTTGGTGTTAAAACAGTATCCTTCAGTTTGAATGTGGAATTCGGCTTCTCCTATGGGCTCCGCACGCGTCAGGCCACAGACTCGGCCCATCATCGCTTTCCTTTACTGTTGGGGGACAGTCACGGCGTGGGTCTCTTCTTAGCCAATCCCCTGGGCCTGCAACAGTGCCCATCCCCGGGGAGGGGGGTCCTCCTCAGGCTTCTGCACCCCTCCCCTGATTTTCAAGTACTGTCAGCGGAATAACATGTAAGAGGTTTTTTCCCTTTGTTCTTTGACTGAATCATGGGGAAATATACTCTGAGATTTACGTATCAGGAAAACATGTAAGCTCAGTGAGGGTGATAGATGTTTCAGAGAGGAGCTGCGTTGAATCAGCATGAACCCCGGTTCTCACGGTCTCCACTACGGCCCACCGAGGAGGAGGAGGAGGGAGGTGGGGAGGACCAGGCGGTGCTGCTGTTTGAAATGCGAATCGAGCCTAGCCGTAGTCCCGACTTTTGCAGTCATCCCTCCATAAACCTCCCAGTCACGGGGCTTGTTTTGTTTCGGGAAAGTATGTGAGTCATTTTATAATGCAGATTTCTGGTTTACTGTACACTGAGGTTTCAGCCATTGCTGGATAATTAATGATTTAAAAATTAGCAAACACGTGGCCCTCCAACTATGACTTATCATTTGGATCTCCTTCTAAAATAGTGTTTTTGGACAAATTCCCAAATTAGAAGTGAAAGAGTTAGACATTATGGGAACTAGGACCAAGTTGCTGGTTATTTAATCTGAGTAGAGGGGGTAACCCCCTGCAGGAACTGGAATTAATTGGTCCTTTCTGTGTGTTTTTTCCTAAAGGCGGGACCACCACACCTCGGGCCATTTTGACGGGCCACGACTACGAGATCACCTGCGCGGCTGTCTGCGCCGAGCTCGGGCTGGTGTTAAGCGGTTCCACGGGTAAGTCTGTCTGTGGCACTTGCAGAAAACGTGTGTGCGCTGTCTGGGTTCCGCTCCGTGGCGGCACGGGCCGCGTTCAGGCACTGCCCGCTCACACAGGACTAGTAGCTGCTGCACTGGACAGCGCCGGTGGTTCTCCCGCGCTGCGCTGCTCTCGGGAGGAGGCGGCAGCGAGGAGCCCCTCTGTGCACTTGCTCGTGCCCCAGGCTCTGGCCGGACCCGCTCCTACCTCGCACCGGAAGGGAGACTCCTGACCCCGTCGGTTCTAACTTCCAAGTCCCTGCCGGAGGCAGGGTTACCGGCTCCTCTGTTTTGCATGCAGCACACGGCGGGATTGCGGAGCTCTGATCCGTATGGGCTCTTCCCAGTCTCCCTCCAGCATCTCAGCGGGGGTCCGCCTGGGGAGCTGGTAGCCTCAGGTGCTGCTCTGTGCTTTGGGGGTGGGGCGGGGGGGGGGCAGGAGGGAAGTGGACTCAGTTGCCAAGAGGTGACAAAGGATCCCTGATTTCATCTGGGAGGGGACAGTGAGATGGTAACATCAGGGACCTTCTCTGGGCAGAGCAGTGAGCAGGGGTGTGGGGGACTGTGGAAGCCTTCGGGGGTGGCCCTGTGAGTTGTCCCCACACAGGTCCGGTGCTGCCACCACCAGGGCCCCTGGCCAGCCAGAGTGGGCCCGACAGCAGCCCAGCCTTCCTGGAAGCTCCCCTCGGATTTGACTTTTGTCCTGTTCCTTTCTAAAATTCCAGTTTTTAATAATTTCTTGGCATAGTGACTTTCATAGAGTAACTCCCTATCTCTTAAGGGGAAATGAACTTGAACGTGTAAGACAGCTTTCTCCTCTCCCAAGTGAAAGGCGAGGGCTGGCCAGCACGCAGGGGACAAGTTGCAGAACGACCCGTGTCAGACGTGTACCTTGTAAGGCTTTCTGTGACGGTGACGTGGTTCTGTTACACTCTGATCTGTGCTCACGACTCAGGTCACGTGTTTCTGTTCCCATGTGAAAATGAATTCCGCCATTTGTTTCTGCTCTGTCTTCAGAAGGACCGTGTCTCATACATTCCATGAATGGGGACTTATTGAGGACTCTGGAGGGTCCTGAAAACTGCCTGAAGCCGAAACTCATTCAGGCTTCGAGAGAAGGTCATTGTGTCATATTCTACGAAACCGGCTTCTTCTGTACCTTCAGCGTAAACGGGAAACTCCAGGCCACTACAGAAACCAATGATAACATAAGGGTGAGTGCCTTGCAGGCTTTCTTGAGTGTTTACCTTCAGGTGAGGGGGCAGAGGGCTCCTTAAAGAAACCTCTGTTGAGTTTCTGAGATTCTCTTTTCCATGCCCAAAAAGAGAGAGGTGGCTGTCAGACATGGCTCGCGTGCCTCCTGGAGCCCTGCGTGTCCAGTGGGGCTGGCTACTCGGCTCGGCTGGGACACTCTGGGTCTGGGGCCGCTGTGAGGCTGCTCAAGGTCACGGCTCATTTTTTTTTGTTTTTGTTTCTAAAGTTAACTGCACATCGTCGTCGTTTTCTGATTATGAAATCTAAACTAATGCAGTAGAGGACACCTGTGACTGTCCCCTCTCTGTAGGCTAAGGACGGGGGGTGGGGGGCGCGGGTTAAGACTATTCAGGATTAGCATCGAGTTTCAGGCTTGACTTCTCGGTGGATAAGAAGACCCGAACTTGCCAAGGTAAGAGAGTTGGGCTTCACATTCATTGTGAATTAGGCCGCTTTTCCGTTTTGCTGTGCGAGCAACGGTAACGCTGGTGGACCCTCTGGCCTCTGTAAGCGTCGGGCTGAAGCAAGGCGTGAGGGCTGCCCTTGGGAGAGCCGTGTTTCCCCGGTCCCCCTGGGCGGAGGCAGTGCGCTCTGCAGTCTGTGTGGTTCTGGGGCGGGGCTGGGCGTGCGTGCGTGCGTGCGTGCCGGACCAACGGGTGGGGCGGGGTCGCCGAGGTCTCCGCCCTCTGAGAGCGGCTTCCAGGCAGCCTGTGTGTTTTAGTGATGGCTATTCCCGACCCTGGGCGACTCAGATGACAAAAATTCCCCGAGGTCTAGTCCGGTCACCCCTTCTCTCAGGTAAAAACAGGCCTGGAACAAAACCCCTAGACCTAGATGGAGTGACGCAACCTCCGGCCCCGCCCTCCCCTCGGTGCGCCGGAGACGCCCGGGCTCTGCCGGTTTCTCCCTTCCGCCCGTAATACTTCCGCCCGTAATACTTCATTTAAACCAAGTACACATCGGAGGGTTTTCCTTTCCTCTTTAGAATAATAATGTTGATCATCTGTCACTTTGAGTTGCGATTATATTGTCAGCTGCGCTAATAAATCTGCAAAATAATTTGAAATCCCTCGCCGGCTGCAACAATTTCTGCGGCACGCCAGTGCCACAGGCTCGGGCACGAGCCGAGGCTGCAGTCGGAGGCTCGCTGCAGGCCGCTCCCGCACACCGGTGTCCCCCTCGTCCCACCGCCGTGCGTCCCTCTAATATTTCCCACGGGGTCTTAGGCTTAAACAACCCATTGCCTTTCCCCCAACACCGTTGCACTTTGTCACACCAACTAGGATGTGGTGGCCTGTGTGATGAGCGAGCTTGCCTGGCGGGGAGAGGAGAAGGAAGCTGGGGCAGGGGGTGGGGCGGGGAGGCCCCAGACTGCAGGGCCCACTGCCGGGGAAGCCTTCCTTGCTGTGCAGCCGGAGGAGGCCCTTCCCCCAGCGCTGGGTCCTCTGGGAGCCCTGCACCCCGCAGAGCAGCGGCCCTGGGGGCCAGAGGGGGAGAGGACCACGGCCCTGCGGGCATCCTGAAGTCTCTCACCTCAGCCCACCGCTCCAGCGCCACCATCCTGGTCTCTGGGAGCCGGGCTTGGCTGGAGGACGGGATGCTGTTCTGGAAAGGATGCCCTGGCTCCTGCCTTCGGGGGGATGTGACAAGTCCTTCACGAGAAAATGTTTCTTCACCTTGGCAGGCATCTGCCCTGTTCACATGTTTTGGAGGCTGATAAAAGGATAGCCCTAGAAGTCCAGGTTTAACATAATTCCAAACAGAACTAGGGTTAGACTCTACTGAAACAGAGAGTTAGAGATTAATGGTTTTAATTTGTCTTAATTTAGCACTTACCCAGTAAAAAGCCTGAAGTATAAAACTCAAGTGAACCACATCTAGAAGGTTAATGGGTTTTCATCAGTTGACTTTTATAAGTGTAGCAAATAATTATCGGTGCTGGTCGTCCTGGCCTTTCCCAGACACCCCCTAGAGATCGCCGTTTGTCAAGTGACGGGAGGACGAGGATACAGACTGGGAGTTACACTGAAAAACCTCACCGTTTCATTTGGTTTAGATTTAGAGAATCCTCGTACGCAACTGTCTTCCACACGTGGGTTTTTATTTCTTATATTTTTTGTGTGTGTATTCTTGACAGTAAGTTATATTTAAGCAACCACTAAAAAAGAGTTGGCATCTATGTGAATTGAATGGCTACGAGACAATCCTTACTTTTCTGTGACTTAAAAAAGTTTGTCAAAGGGTAGATTAAAGACCTAAGGCAACCACACTAAAACTCTGTAAGTACATTTATCAGAAGCTAGAGTTAGTCTTTCTGGCATTGCCAGTACAGTCTGTGTTCCCACCGTGGACAGAAGATCACAGGTGTTTGCGGCAGCTTTTCGAAGTCCCACGTCGCCCCCTGAAGCCAGGCAAAGCTGCGGAGCAGAGGAAGGGCATGAGGGTTAGCTCGTGGGGCAGGCGTGGGCATACGGTCTCTGTGAGGGACGGACGGTGACTGTCAGGCTCCGCAGGCTCTGTTCCATTGCAGGTGTGGGGGAGCGTTGCTGTCAAGGAGCGGGGTGACTCTGTTCTGGGACCCTTGTGGGTAGATGCTGAAATCTAGAATTTATATAAATTTTGCTGTCATGAAATATTTTTCTCAAGCATTAAAAAAATGTAGGAAGTCATAAAAACGGGCACTGGTCTGCCACTGGCCCATTTTACAGGACTGAAGAACGAGTCCGTTGTCTGCCCTGTGGGCAGCGGGCAGTCCTGGCACGAAGAATGTGCCTCGCCTGGGGAGTCCTTGCCCAGGGGGGGCGGGGCTCTCTGGCTGCAGGACCCCTGCAGGCCTAGCGAAGGTGCTAGCCCTGTGGGCCCCTTTCCCCTGGGCTGCAGCCCCGAGGGAGGGCAGCAGGGTTTTCCCGAGTATAGGGGGTCAGCCGGGGTACAGAGCACTTCGCCTGTCCCCAGGACAGCTGCGGAGGTGCCGAGAGGCCCCTCGGTTTGGAGGGCTGGTCCCAGCCCACAACACGCAGCTGAACTCTGAGTTTGAAAAAATGGCAAAATTTCCCATGACTCCTGATTTCCTAAACACTCAGGAGCACCCCCACCCCGCCCTGTGCTGCAGCAGCTGCTCGAGTAGGAGGTCCTCAGACTGGGCCGAAGTTCTCACCAGGCTGTTGCTGTCTCGCAGGCCATGCAGCTGAGCCGGGACGGGCAGTACCTGCTCACCGGAGGGGACGGTGGCGTGGTCGTGGTCTGGCAGGTGTCGGACCTCAAGCAGCTCTTCGCCTACCCAGGCTGCGACGCTGGGATCCGGGCCATGGCCCTGTCCTACGACCAGAGGTACTCGGGACTCGTGGGCCATGGAGGGCGGTGGCACAAACCGCAGAGGGGCCTGTAGGGGTGGGGGTCCCCTGTGCAGTGAGGAAGCCAAGGAATGCTGGGGTTTCCGGGACACTTGTTGACAAGCATGGTTTTCTCTCGGAGGCACGGCCGCTGCGGACAGAGGCCGAGTTCTCGCGGGTTAGACAAGACTGGGGTGACGAGGGCTCCTGTGACATCGCCACTAAGCTTTTTGTATTTCTTAACATGCCTCTTTCTTAATGCATTTGACGCGCTGAAATAGGATGCCTGTGTCCCTGTCCGTGGGGATTCCTCTGAGGGACTGGTAAATCGTCTCAATGCCCAGTGTCCTGGTCTGTCAGCTCAGGTTTTGACTTATGGCCTGTTCGGTCTGACACCGGTGTGGCCACCCAGCCCTCCTCCCAGGGCTGTCTGCAGGGACTGTCTGTCTCCACCCTTCCTCCCTCCACCTGTCTGTGTCCTCAGAGCTCACGGGAGTCTCTTGTGGACAGCGCACCTTTGGTCACGATTTTTACCCCTTCTGCCAGTGTCTGCCCTTTGCCTGAGGTGTTTAATCTACTCACATATAAAGCAATGACTTGCCATTTTACTATGTATTTGCTTTCTATGTCTTAGAGGTTTTGTGTGTCTCTCCTGTTGAGTATTTTGCCTGGCAACACGTTTCAGTTTCTAACTTTGGTCTGACGTATTAGGAGGGTACTGAATAGGACCACTGAGGACTCAGCCAGAGACCATCTAACAGGCTGTGGCCCGAGAGCCCCCTCTCTGCCTGCACCGGCCACTCAGGGACAGGACAGCGGGTAGCAGCCCTGTCCCCATCAGTCGCCTCAGGGAGTCGTGCTGCGAGGACTGGGCCCTGCTCAGGGCACAAGGGGCTTGGACTGAGCTCCCAACAGACCCCGCTCAGCTCGTGGTCAGCACAGCCCTCCTCCCTGATTCTCTGCCTGTCAGCAATGCCCCCCCGCCACACGTGCTGCTTCCCGCACCAGGTTCTACCGACTCACCCCGCGGGCAGGGGCTGCGTTTGCACAGAAAGGCAGCTGTGGCTGGGACCCTTGTCGGGGCGGAGCTCCAGGCTTGCTCAGGGCTGTACGTCGGCCACCCAGAGATGGGCTCTGACCTCCGTCTTCTACGTTCACTGTGCAGATCTGGGGAGGGCAGTTGGTTCTTGAGTAGCAGATGCCTAGGAGATGAACAGGTGGATAAGCCCCGCCTTCTCTCTGCCTCTCCCAGGTGCATCATTTCCGGCATGGCCTCAGGAAGCATCGTTGTGTTCTACAACGACTTCAACCGGTGGCATCACGAATACCAGACCCGCTACTGACAGGGGCGCTGCACAGCGGCCCTGCGCCCGCCGCCGCGGGGGAAGCACCCGAGCACCCTTCTCTCTGAGACGGCGCTCACCTCTGAATGTAACTTAAATTTGCTCTAAAGCAAAATATTTTTTAAAGTTAATTGCTATTTTTGTAGACTTTGCTTGACTTTGGGGGGGAGGTATATAGCAAAGCAGAAAACTGGCTGCTGGGTTCTGTAGTTTTAAAAAAATCTCTATTTTTAGTCATAATGAGAAGTCTATTTTCACCAATTATGGAAATACACAGTGGAGTGAGTAAAACCACTTCTTCTAGCTACGTTATGAAAAACACTTCCCACTTATCTGTAATCTTGAGAGATAAATGACTTTAATCATCGGGAAGTGGGTTATAATACTGGGACGGGGGGATTTTATGCTGTACTTTCGGTCCTGTATTTTTCCAAACAGTTGTGCTTCTTAAGCACTGAACTTTCTGGGATTTAAATAGTAATGTTTAAATTATGATAAATGTAATTTAAAACATCTCAGTGAATTATTTCTAGCTATTCTTCAAGCATGTTTTAGACCTAGAAAATTGTGGTTTTGAGGGAAGCTCTTTTACTCTGTGGTTAACTTAAAGGATCTAACGTTACAGCAGGTGTGAAATATTTACAATGTTTTCCTGGTTTGTCCTCTTCCTAGCACATCAGAATGAAATGATGGCAATGGTCGTGGGCTCACAGTTGTTTTTCTGTACGTTGCAACTACCAAAGCTCACCCCTGAGGTCCGACCACGCCCACGCACTGAGGCAGCTCCCTCATCAGCCTCGCACCCCCGCCCCGGGGTCTGAGAACAGAGGCTCCCAGGTGCTGCAATAAGCAACACCTGTTTTACCTTCTATTTGTTATTAAACTATCTTCCCCTCCCTTTTGATTAGCAGTTTGTACTGAGAAACAATGTTATTTTGGTGTTGTGTAATTCTACTTTTCTAGTAGATGGCTGTGTGGAATTCTGTGAAACATATCTGAGAAAAGGCCTGTATTGCGTAAATAAACTCTTTGTATGTTGTGACCTTGGGCAGCCCGCCTGCTTCTCTCGCAGCGTACCCGGCGGCCCCTTTTACATGTCTGCATGCCCAGCTCCTCCCAGAAAGCACAGGGTTGGCGTGAGCAGCTCCGTTTGACAGAAAAATACGTTTGTCACTGAGTTGTTAGAAACATCGCTTCAATTTTAAAACATTGTCAAACTCTGGGTCATAGTTTGAACCACCAATGGGAGAGAGACCTTGAACAGAAACCCTCCAGGGGTGGGAGCGGGGCGGAAACAGGGCTCCTCTGGCTACACCCCTCTTTTGAGAGACGTTCAAAGGAGAACGCTAGGCCTCTATCCCCCAAAGGACCAAACGAGGAACTTTGTATCCTGAGTCTAAAACCCACCCTGGCTTTGTAAACCATTAAAGAAAAACAAGAGATGGTAAAGTACACCTTAGAATCGAAGAACTTACCCAGTCACTGATAAATTGGCCAAATATCCCCTTAATCTCACCCTTGAGATCCGCTGGGTCTTAACCTGTGGTCTCGTACTTTGGAAGCTTAGGGAAAAAGGGAGAAGAAAGTTAGGAATACCTAAGTCACATGCTGGGCACATGACACTGTATCCCATAGTACAAGCCTAAAGCCAAATTAGTAAAGCAACTTCCTCTGAAGCCCAAGAAGAAAATTAGTGCCTCTATTCCCTTTATATTGCCTTTAAAAGTCAGAACTGTAGAAAATTAACAATTTCTACAGTTGTTCATTTGTATAACTATACAAATTATGTAGATGTAGCTATAGCATCAACACAAGAGCTTCCTAATGATAGAATCTAATGTAGTACAGGGTTTGATAGGGTTTACTCAACATGCATTCAATTTGAACTCCTTTTTTCTTTTAAAAAACATTATTTTTAATAAACGTAAGCCGATCAGGAAAAACTCTCCGCGTCGACGGGGTGGGGAGTAAAGTGGATGAACGACACCCCAGCGGGGAGCTCGGGGGCACGTTCTGCGAGGGTGCGACTGCCAGCGAGTGGTACCCGGCTGGTTTCCGAGCGCATCGCCTCGGGGCATCAACACCTCCCTCCCTGACAGTGCGGACTCTTCCTGAAACACTGCCAGCCGAGTCCCCGAGGCTCTGGAACGCAGGCCATGCCCGCAGATCCCCAGGGCAGCGGGAGGGCTTGCACAACAGAAGGTGGACGTCGGACAGGCACAGCGGTACGGATGGTGGACGGGTCACTCCTAGGGGAGCATCTTGGTCCCCCCAAGTGCAGCAGACCCCACAAACATTTTCATAAAGTAACTCAACAAAAAGGAACCGCTGAGGCCCTGGGGATAACATCACACTTCCGCTCTCCTATTTCTGAGCTCCCAGGATTTCACAGGGCGAGATTCGAAGTGTCCGTGTGGGAACCACAAGACGCTGGGTGAGGGACACGCGGTCAGGAGCCCGGGGCAGCCCCTCCCATTCAGCTCCAAGAGCACAGCCAAAGGCCCGGGGCCTGACCCCACATACCTGGTGCTGTGTGTCCTCCCACCTCGCTGTCAGGGGGCCGGTGAGATGGCAGAGGTCGTGCGGGTCAAGTTCACGGAAGGGGGGCCAGGGAACCCAGCCACGCTGCACCCTTTAAGCAGATGCAGGAGAATTAAAACAGCAGATGACGTCATGGATCTACCAAGACGGGAATGCGAGGGGAGAGGCTCTCACTAGGTACCGTCAATATGTTCTTACTGGCTGTGGTGGTTTCAAGAGCAGCCACGCAGCTCATGGGCCTGGCTTGGTCCTTCCTTCTGCATCAGCCCTGCCCACGCTGCATCGCCGCCAAAGAACACAGCAGACCGCCAACACAGATCCCTCTGCGACACGCACCAGCGGGAAGGGTCGTGGAGCACCCACTGGCCTCGTAGCCTCACGTCACCACGGGACAGCACGTTAGGCCAAAGCATGTTCACAAGCACAGAACAGAGGGCACACAACTTATATCCCAACACCTGTGCATGCGTATCAGTGCGCACGCCAGTGCCTGCACATGGCTATGCCTGCCCGCCCCGCTGAGGAGGGAGAGTTCTCCGCTCCCCCCCGCCCCCCAGGAGAGCACCCAGCCCCTCGAGCTACATCCCCTCTTGTGGCACCAGGTGGAGGCTGTTCATTCCTCCTGAAGGCGTCACAGGTTATCACTGCAGGGAAGCTGGGACATCCCCAACTGTCCAACCGAAAAGGAAGGGCGAGGCTGTCAACAGCAAATCAATAAAATAAAATAATCCTCTGTCTCAGATGAGCAGGAGAAACATCTTTCGGATTCCCTTAGATAGATTGGAAAAGTGTAGCCCATGATGCATTTCCTGGGCCCCCCAAAGTCACAAGATCACTATTTGAAAAGCTCCGGGCCACTATCAGTGACACTGACACATCACTGCCAGCCCTGGCTGCCGTGACCCAGAAATGCAGATGGCTCCCACAAGGGACGTCGCATTTGTCTCTGTAATGAAACCGAGGGCGCGCTGGCCCCCGGGCCAGCGATCTTCCCGAGACGGCGGGCGCTGTGCAAGGGAAGGAGGCAGTCTGCTGCCGCGCCTGTGGAGGCCGAGGCCGAGGCCGCAGCAGCCATGGGCCAGAGACGTGAATTATTTTTCTGTGTCAAGTTCGGGAGTATTTTTCTTGCCAAAACCAAGACCTGGGGGGAGCTGGGAAGGGTGCTGTTGCCTCAGACCTGGCAGGAAGCAGCTGGCTGCTCTGCAGCTTTGGACTTGATTTGAAAGATGTGCTCCCGACCCGGCTTCGGCCTCAGCACAGACAGGTAGGTGCCCCGTGCTCACGACTCGCCCAGCTGGGCCAGCAGGCTGGAGCCGTCCTGACCACACCGGAGGCCTGAGGCCCCCAGCGCGGCCCGAATGAGAGGAATTACGTTTGGGAAGGGGCACGTCGGCTGCAAATGACTATTGCTGTACCAAACATACCCTTTCTTCCCTGCAGCCATTCAGTGGTGGCAACTCCTCCCCTGCTACCTGCCTTGGAGTTCAGGGCCGCAGGTTGGATCTCCAGGTGGCCCCTTTGGACGCCCTGGGCAAGACCCCTTGTTCTCCCTGGCGGCTAGCCTCTTAGCCCCTTGGTTCTCCACCACTTTGCTGGGTGTGTTCTCCACCCAGTCCCACCTCTGTCCTACCACAGAAACAACCCTTCTGAAGCACCTGTGAGCACCTAGAGGGGCAGCCCAGCCCAAAGGACAGTGGCCCGGGGAGTGTGGAGGCCCAGTCCCAGCTCCAGCAAGTCTGGGAGAGCTCCGGCCCCTTGCAAGCACTGCGTTTAATGAACGGGGAGATGAGCATCTTTCTGGGGGCTGTGGTGTGGCTCAGAGGAGACAGGATGTAATACTCTGCATGCTGATGCTGTTTGTGGTGGGGATGATTTAGCATCCAGGCATTTCCAAGAACTCGGGGGTCACTCCTTTAAAAAGCAGCTAATTCCATCACCAGACCACCAGACTGCCTGCGATCAGACTCCTCCCCCGAGGCTGCACTCATACCCGACCCTGCGCAACTCCTACCTACTGACCTCGCACTGCCCTGTGGAGCCACTACGAGAAGTCTGCGCCCCTGCTACAGAGCAGGCCTCCCACAGCCGAACACACCCAGCAGATGTGCCTCCGGTCTCCCCTAACTAACACCTTACCGGCCCTTGCCTGCCAGGACTCCGAACCCCTCACCTCCCAGCTGCCCCCTGGGTGGTGGCTGCTTGGCTGGTACTGCACACCTCGAGGCCCCAGAACACAGCTCCATACCTGGGAGGACCCGGCTCACGCTGCCACAGTCCGCACGTACCCCTCACAGCACGGCCCAGCTAGGATGGCGCTGACTTGTGAGCCGCTCTGTTGGCACCTAAGGAAACAGCAATCGCTGAACCCCCCACGTCCAGCAGGGCCCACAGGCGCGGTGTGCACCAAGGCCTCACCTCAGGCGCTTCGTTTGCACCAGTGCTCGAAGCCGTGGAGATCATTAAATCAGCTCCCGCCATTTAAAAACAACGGAGAAGCATGCTTCCTATGTCACTGTTCACACCGGGGCCACGGACCACCGAACAACACAGCAGTGAGAACAGAGGGGAGGCCGTGGCCTCTCGGGAGAGCCGTGGCACAGCCTCGGGTGGCCGTCGGGGCGTGAAGGAGCCTCGCCCACCCTGAGACGGCGGTCAGTGTGAACACACACCCGTTTCAAAGACTCAGTTCGGAAAGTGCCACACATCCCTGTGGTTGTGAAATGTTGATTACAGGCTGAAATGATGCTGTGGGTGTATTTAGATATATTGTGTTAAATAAAACATGATACTGTTACTCTCACCTGTTCCTAAATTTTGATTAATCTGCACCAGAAAACATTGAACTACGTAGCTTACATCCTGTCCCCGTGGGCCGGCGAGCACTCCAGCTGCCTGTCTCCGAGGCAGCGCTGGCCGGCCCGCAGCCGACCTGCCGACTCGGTGAGTCTGCTCCCAGCGGTCCCAATCGCCTCCTGCCTCCCACACCACGGCATGGCCCCCGGAAACATGCTGGGAAGGGTCTGCTGGGTGCTTTTAGTCCACATGTTCCACACATTCCCATGTCATGGCAGCCCTCACGAAGACACACGCGCACACACACACACACAATCACTGGCTCCTGGCTCAACTGCTGGGCCCCGCAGGCAGCTCCAGACGGCTTTGGCTTCGGCAAGTCACTGCCCCCCTTTCCTACCCACTTCCCGAGGTCGGTGTGCTTAGACACTGATCGCCCGCCCAAGGAAAGGAGAGGACGTAAGACAAGCACACGGCAGCCTCACGGTGCAGGAGAGGAGGGCCCGGCATTAAGTGTCTGCATTCCACGTGCGTCCTGAGGAGGAGAGACCAATGCATGATTGCTGCGTGCACGGGTAGATGGCCCAGGTGCTGGGGGTGTCAGAACCGCCCTTTTCCAGGAGACCTGCATTTGCCCCTGGGTGACTGACCGGGGCGGCCACACCGCACAGGCTCTGGCGTCCGCCGGGAACCGCAACAACATCGCAGCGCTGTCTCCTGCCAACTCCATGGCCTGGGCCACGTCCCCTAACTTCTCGGTCCGCTCTGTTCTCATGACACGCTGCTCTCGTTGTCTGTGGGGTACAGGTCATTCTAGAACCGCCAGGCCCCTGCTGGGCCCGCCCCACCTGGTTGGTGCCACTTCCCCTCTCTAGGCCACGCCCCCTCCTAGGCTAGCCGAAGCTGGCACAGAGGGTGGGAGCAGGTGCCGGAAAGAAGGTGCTCCTTCATCCTGTTACTGCTGACTGGCCACTCGTTTTCTTAAGTTTTTAGCAAATGTCTTTGGGCCTCATACAGAGGAAGGGACAGGGTCAGGTTTCAGGTTCTGGCCAGCGCCAGAGGCCTCGTTCCATCACCATTTTCATTCTCCTGCTCCTCCCTTCGCATTACGTCTTCCCTTCCATTAACAAAGCTATCTCCACTGGAAGCTGAAAAATCTGGCTCTCTGGCCTCTCAGGAACAAGACAGATGAGCAGACTATTCCAGAGCGACCCCCCACAGCTTTTCTGAGACTGCCCTGCTCCGGAGGCTGTGGCCGCTGCAGCTGCGACCAGGCAGCCCACCTGGGTTGTGCAGCCAGCCTGTGGGTGCAGCGTCAGCACCAGCCCAGAGACCAATCGTCCACAATCATCTCATTTGCACAGCAGCTTAAGTAACAGATCCAGGGCCACGCTGACAGCTTCGAGCCCTGGGTTGTGCAGCCTTGAGGGGTCGGGGACAGGTGAGCAAGCAGACGTGACAAGGGAACAGGGAAAAAAGCCAAAAGGCACCAAAAGCACAGACAGAAGACCACCCAATCTCGGCGGGGGACTGGGGCGGGGGGGGGGGGGAAGCACCACCAGGCAGAGACGGACACAGACAAGGGGACACCTACCCCGACTCCTGCCGTCGCTGCTGTCAGCTCCCTCTGTCACGTGTCCACGACCCCTGTCCGGCTCTGTCGCCTGAGTAGCTGCGCCTGTAATCGAAGAACCTCCGAGGAGACACCCCCCCACCCCAAGCACCCTCCTCTCCTCCCCCCACGGCCCCCAGGCTGCATCAAATGCACCGGCACCTGCCGGCTCCCAGCCTGGGACCACGCGTCCTTCGCGGAAGGACACAGAAACCTCCGCGCGCCCCGACGACTTGTTCTCAATAAGGAAGAGTTTATTGCAGGTCGGGTACACATGTGGGGGGAAATCTAACAATGCAAAGGAACTACAGGGCCCGCCGGTTTAGAAGGCGAGCAGGTAAAACAAAGACACTACTATGTACAATTGTTAAAAAGAGCAGAGTGGTGGAAAACAGGAAAAACTGCCAGCAGCCTTCCGGGAGGGTGATACCAGGGGGGTCTGCGGAGCACCTCGCCCAGGGCCGCCGGCGCTGCGTCTCGCGGGGGGGCTGTGTCCGCGGGCGAGGAGCCTGGGGGGACGCCGGGGCCATCCCGCTCTGTTAGCATTCTAAATTCACGTGGGGGGGGGGGGGGGTTGGGGGGAACACACAACGTCTGGGGGAGAAAGTGCCCTTCCCGAGTGGTCCGCGCACACACAGAGGCCCGGGGCTGTCTGCGGTGAGCCCAGCACCCCCGAGCCGCGTGGCGGCGCCTGAGAGCCCTTCGGGGGCCCTGGGTGGGACTGGTGTCCGAGGCCAGACTGTCCCTCCGACGCGCGCTTCTGCCGGTGGAACGCCGGTCCCCCAACCCTTGCGCCGAGGAAGACGCCGCGTCACCTCCCACAGGACACCCACCAAGGGGCGGGTGCAGTCCGAAGTGCGTGGTAAGAAAAAAGAAGCACTCTGAGTTTCCTTAAAGAAGGGAGAGGTCTCGGCTCTCATCCGAAGTGTTTCTATAAAAATGAGTTAAATCCTGGAAAAAAAGTTGCACATTCTCCTGGTGACGCTGTAAAATGTCCGTTGAGCCGAAAGTAGGATCATTGAAACCAAGCCGCTCTGAATATCTGTCACCAAAGCTGAGGCTGCAGGTGACACCCCCGGGAACCGGAGGGCACAGCCCAGGGCTTGAACCGGGCCGGGCGGCAGCCTGAGGACCAGCAGGCCAGGCTCAGGCCTGCGTGCCTGCCGGTGTCAGTCACGGTGGCGGCGCCAGGTCCCTGCCCGCTCACAGCCCGTGGCAGCGGGAGGGCAGGGGGGCGTGGGCGATTGCGGCGGGGCAGGGGCCGAGGCTGCCGCCCCGGACTCGGGGGCCTCCTCGGCACAGGGGGGAACTGGACAGGCAGGCTCCACCCAGGCTCGGCCGCTGTCCTGACCGTGCTTGCTGCCGAAGATCTGCCCCTCCTTATCTAGAGCCGTGTTCTGCGGAGAGAGCAGCAGAGACAGCATGTCAGCCTGGCGGGGCCGGCCCAGCTACCCCAGCAGAGCGAGCGCACCACAGAGCATGCACGGGGCTCAGAAACAGAAGAGGAGAAATAACCGCTGGCCTCTCTTCCAGCAGAGGCCTCAGAGCGAAGTGGGCTGAGGGCACCCACCCCAGCACAGGCCGCACAGGCCGCACAGGCCGCACCAGCCTCGACCCCTGGCTTGGCAGCCCCAGCCCTGGATGGCAGCCCCAGGCGACTCTGTACGAGCTCTGAGCTGCACCTGAGTCCGGAGTGCTTCCTGCCATGCCCAGCCCTTGAGCCCTGAGAATCCTGTTCAACAAGCAAACCATGCTAGGGTTTTGAAGAACTTTCCTAGGATGGCTTCTCCATCAAAGCTGGGAAGGCCGCTCCTCTGTCACAGAAGTGTCAGTAAGTGACCCCGTGACAGTCCACGTGGCTGCATTGCCCTCAGAAGCCTGGGCTCCTGGTGTGACAGCGTTGCCCATTTTGGACCCTCCGCCATCCCCTCGCCTGCTCTTCCGGACCCCACCCCACCCCCAAGGCTTTTCGTCTGCTCAACTCGCCAACCAGGAGGAAATTGCCTTCCCCTCTGACCCTGTGCTGGGAGGGGACGCTGTTCTCCTCTCTGACTCCTTCCAAGTATTTCTGGTTTGTTCGGTGAGACCCGCCAGCCGTCAGGCACCTTTAGCCAGAAGGCACAACCCATCAGGAGGCATTTTGCAATATAGCCACCCCCGGGGGCAGAGGGGGCAGACCACCGATTCTTTCCATACTCTGAAAACATGGACGAGTCGAGAAAATCGGAATAAACCACGGGGCTTTCTGAGACAGACACTGATGTGGCTGCCGTCGGGGCACTTGGTGTCCACAGACAGGTGCTCTCTGCGGGCCCGTCCACGCTCAAGGTGAACGTGCAGTAATCTCCGAGAACACTGTCCATGAGCCGGAGCCGAGCCGACCGTGAGAGGCCTCCCAGCCACCCCTCCGTGAGAACACTGGGCGTGCAGAGGCAGCCTTGTTTTTTCTACCACGAATTTCTCCCGGGTAGAAGAAACCACCAGTTATTTCTCCTTTTCTCTTCCTGTGGGGAGAAGGCGTGTGCAGCAGAACAAAGCATCGCAGTGCAGTCAGTACATACCATTGCCTTGGACCTAGTCAGAGGGGAGCAAATGCAGGCGGCGGGAGAGGCGGGAGAGGCAGGAGAGGCAGGAGAAAGGGGGGAGAGAAGCAGGGACAGAAACTAGACTTACTTTAAACAGAAGCAACACGATTGAAACAGCTTTGTCTATCTTACATTAAGCCCGAATCATTCCCAGATTTCCCCTTCAAAGAAGCACAATCCCCCTGGAGCAGGAAAGCACACCATTTGCATTTATCGCTTCTCACGGCAAGATTCAAGGGGCATCAGGTTTCTTAGCATTCCCTTTCCTGCCACAAGATGGCGCCGTCTAGTCCCCGAGGCTGGGAGGAGCCTGCGGGGACAGACAATAACCTGCTCTGCAAGCGCCTTGTCCTTTCCTCTGCACGTACGGTAAGGGCAAGTCCGAGAACTGCAAGTGCAATCCAAAACCACCGTGGGGCTGTTGGAAACCGAAATCTTACCCAATATAATTCTCTCCTATCCCGAAGGCTAAGCTCGCTCTACACTGCCTTATTGATAAAAACGCATCTTCGGAGATGTGCGAGGAGAAAGAGAACAAAAGCCTTCATTCACAGAGGCACCCATCCTACGCTGTCACTCACAGAAAGATGCTTGTTCACCTAAGTGGAAAACAGCAGCCATCCAGAGATCTATCTGCTGGAGCCCTCTTTCTGAGCACGCGCCAGCTCCTAATCTGCAAAGGCAGGCAGTGCAGCAAGCTGAGAAAGTCTCCCAACCGTGCGCTGGGCTGGCCGAAGAGGGTGTCAGTAGGTGCCAGAGGCCCGCACTGGTAAGAAGCTCCTAGCCCCTGCTGGTGTCAGAAGCCTGAGGGACGCATGCAGATTTAAGGGGGGCTGAGGATTAGAAGTCGCTTGGACGAAGCACCAGCGTGCTCAATACCAGAATTCTGCTTCAGGGGTCCCCAGAGTCTCAGCTGGGTAAAGAACGAAACTCAGACGTGTCTCTCACACTGCCAAATCAAACTGTCAAATGAAACGCAGACAACAGCATCAGCTTTACTTTCTTTCACTGGGAGGTACCATTCCTGTGCTTTCATTTTCCTCCCTGGAGCCTCAGGCGCCGACCTTGGTGGGCTAAGGCGGCGAGGTGACAGGGGAGGCCAAGCTTCTGTCTGTCGGTCACACCACTGTCACCTGAGGACTCCACCTCAAACTCCGATGCACTATTTCCACTACTAGGAGCATCTGTAGGAAACCATATTCACCTCACACACTCCAGTTATGAGAGCATATACAGGGGGTTCGGCACAAGTAACGCCCCCCCCCCTTTTTATTACACAATCTTTTATTGCAAAATCATAAGCATGTAATTCTGTAACACAACAATATCACACTCAAGTGCACTATATGACATTTTAGCTGGAATGTTCAAATTAACCCTATAAATTATTACACCCGTATTATTACCTTACCAACCACACTCAAGCAGGCGTTACTTCTGCTGGAACCCGTATATACCAGGGAGAGTCCTTTGTAATTATTGTTTACACGAAGACATTTAAAAGTGTTCCCAAGGGCAGGACACACAGACACACAATCACGGGGGAAAGGGTGAGGGTAACGACACAGAAGCGTCGCAAGCTGCCCCCACACAACTGTGCCCCAGGTCAGGTCCCCGGGTGGGGGAGGGTTAGCATGATGTCCCTGCAGGAGCCTCCTCGCCCCTGCCTTTGGGGACAAGCCAAAATTCACAGGCCAGCTTTCTGGCCATGGAGAATTAGTACCTCCAGAGACAGGCATTACCGATTTCTCCTGCAGGGACTGAATGTTACGGTGTGACTCAGCAGTTCCTCAGAGCTAACAGCCTGCAGAGCTGTGCAGGGAACATGGGGCTGCCTGGAGCCCTGCCAACATGCTTAAAATGACAACTTGAACATACATGTGAACACAAAGCATTTACCATCACCACTGGAATTATAAACAACAGGCTCATCATTCATGGAAGCATCCAGTTAAAGCTCAGGAGGTCCCCTTGACTGGGGACCTCTGCCAACAAATGGGAGAAGGCCACTTGTCAACCAGGAGACGCAGCTCTGTCTGAGGGGGTCTGAACGGCACTGTGGAGAGCAGAGCCTGCACTGGATTGGGAGGCAGAGGGGCTGGGCCACTCCGGGGCCTCAGGCCGCAGGTCAGTGACCTTTCTCTGGGCCCTAAGTCGACAGACGTCCCAGACAACGAGGGTGAACCTCTCTCATCAGCCCTGGGCACAGCTCTGGGAGACTATGAATCTTAATTAATATACAATATTCAAGTTTGATTCTAACTAATCACTCTTCCTCAGGCTTTTCATTACAGGTCAAGTGTGCCAATTTATAATGCATTTCTAAATTTTCCCAGGAGCTGCCTAACCCCGGGGCATGTGGCAAGACTGTCCAAGCCTTACTCTGTCCATCAGGGGGCAGAACCCCTGAATCTGGGCTCAGTCAGGACAGCTCTTTTCAAAGTGTCTGACTGAGCTGTGCTTCTGAGACAGCTGGGCTTGCTCAGGCTTTCGGCAGAGCGCTGCTAAAATGCCAGGAAAACCACAACTGAAGAGGCCTTCCCGTATTTTGGCACCCCCACCCCAACCAAAAGTCCTGAAACATGTCAAAAGATCCTGTTTGCAGGCGCCCTGGGGCAGGGGCAGGGGAGGAGCCAGGGAGGTGCAGGACACCCAGAGGGCTGCCAGGGACACGCAGCCTCCCCGGGACAGGGAACAGCAGGCCTGTGGGAGGCCAAGGAGGTGGTGGGCTCTCAAGAGACATATTTCACAGGCGCAAGCCGGGGGTGGTTCCCCCCTAACCTCTGTCCGGTTATTCCTAGGTTCCTAGACTGCAAAGGAGCATGAGAACAAACAACTGCTTCCCTTCTAGTGGGTTGGCAAACCAATCGAGCCTTTCCAGAAGGTGGAAAGCCAGCGGCAAGAACGACAGAGCTGTGGAGACAGCCCGTCACAAGCTGTCAGGCCACCAGCGACCACGGGCACTGGTGAGACCCAGTGTCGTCAGCGGGAGGGTGGGGTGGGGTGGGGGGGCGAGAGGCCGTGGACTCGGGCAGCCCTTTCCTAGGCAGCCTGATCTGGAAGACGGCTGCTGACTCCCCAGCCTTGCCCCCTGGGCTGTGCACACTGTGGGCGCAGCAGGGACCAGGGCCCCGAGGCGGGCCGGCTCTGTCAGCAGGTGCGGAGATGCTCAGGGCCAGCTTCCTGGCCCAAGTTCGGCAAGGGCTCTGGTCCCGGCAGCTAGGTTGGGAGTCCTGACCCTAACTCTGGCTCAATATTTTTTGTGCTGCCCTCAGTTTCCTTTTGCTGAACTTACGTGAATGTTACTTCACTTACTTTAATTTGTTGTGTACGTGGATTGAGGGAAGCTGCCTTGAAAACATTTTGGAAGAAAGAAGGTCTGAGAAATTGTGGCAATCACTGTTACTGACTTCCCATAGCATTCATTCTACCCACCCTGGAAAAAGTAATTTTTTCACACTGTTCTGCACTTTCAGAAGCCACAAAACAAGCTCTAAGAACAACCCACACCTCCGGCAGTCTGTCTTGGAAGCCCCAGCAGGCAGGGGGCCCTCCGCAGAAGAGCGGGCAGGAACGGTGCCCAGGAGGGCTGGGCCTGGAGGAGGCCGCGGGCTCCGCGGCGCCTGGGCCCGGCCGGGGGGCCTCACTGGCACCTGCACAACTCCCCACCCGGGGCCCGAGGCCTGGGCGTCAGCCAGGTGGGGGCACTGCCCATGCCAAGCCAATCTGAAGGGGAACAGGGAGCATGGAAGGCGCCAGCTTCCATGCGGGGGAGGCTCTCGGCCCTTCACTTGAACAGCTTCCGTGTGGGCCGAGCAGCCAGGCCAGACGCAGCCGCTCTCCCCCCAGAGGCAGGGCGGTGCGGCCCACTTACCACGATGACGGAGACCCCGGTGGTGGTGCTGTTGTGTTTGGGGAGCGCGTTGTGAAAGTGCTGCTTCAGTTTACCTGCGACTTCGGCGTGCATGTTGTTCTCCTGCGAGGCGTCATCCTGCGGCCGAGGGCAAGCACAGGGGTTTCGATTTCCACGGCTACTACCTGGTCTCTTCCTTAACGGACACACACCGCCCACCACCAGCGCCGCCACCTCTTCCTAACGGGCCCACCTTAGCCATGAGGTTAAGCCCTTCCCCATGAGGGGAACCCATCACAAATGACCGCTGCTGCCCAGCAGCCCCAGGCCCTCGGAAAGGCCCGACCCCTCCGCCCGGCTCTTTAGGTCCAGGGCTCAGGTCTCCGGTGGCACAGGGGGCATGATCTTCAGAAGTCTGAGGCCCTCCCCGCACAGCACAAATGCTGTATAATTTAGTACACCAAAACCAATGAACAGTTTATTATTTTAACCAAGGGTTCCGTTAGGGGTTAGTCCCTGTTGGTCATAAAGTAATGTGGCATCGCAGCTCCTCGGTCCAAGGGCCATGTGTCTCAGCAGGAGCCAGAGAGGCTGGACCCGGGTGTCAGGACCTGGGGGGCAGTGGAGGTGGCAGAGGAGCACAGGGGGCCCCCAGGTGGGCATGAGCCCTTGGCAGAGTACAGGAGCCTCACTCCCCAGGAGCGTCTGGGAACGAGGGAGGTGCAGACTTTCCCGAGGTTCCCCGTTACAGGGCTGTCTGCCCTAAACCCAGGGGCGCCCCCCAAGCCCAGGGGAACTCTAGCCGGCAGGACAGCTCTGTGCCCAGCCCTGGAGCGGCCTGTGTCTCACCTCCCAGCCATGCCAGGGGGCCTCCTACAGCCAACCCCTTCATGTGCCAGGAAGACAGAGGAATCGGGGTCTGAAACACGCCCGTCTCTGGGAAAGTCCTGAAAACCCTCAGGCCCCAGAACTACAAATAGCAAACGCTGAAAGCCTCCTTAGACAGCATTCCCGCCAACCCCTTCATTCTGCAGCGGGGGAAACTGAGGCCCGGAAAGGGTCAGTGGCTTGCCCAGGTCTGAACACTCCAGGATCCTGGTGCCAACTGCTCTGCACCCCGAGAACTACCTTCACACTACTCACTCACTCACTCACTCACTCAGAGAAGGCAGACCTCCCACGGGCCCGGGGACCCGTGCAGAACCCGGCCTGTGCAAGCTCACGGCCATGGAACCACGGGAGTTCGTTCCCCAGGAACGTGGGTACTTACTGACACCCAGGGGTGACTCAGGATTTCCCCCGCGGTGCACCGAGCTTCAACATTGACCTGAAGCATCTGACTGATTAATTCCTGGAAAGAAGAAAGAAGAGCAGAGAAGAGACAAAAGGGGGTGATTTCTGCATGAATACAGAAACCCGAGTTCACACTGAGTACTCTGAAGAACAGCCACCACAGCTATTGGAACTGAAAAGCCGTTGTTGCTGACACTCCTGGTGCGCACAAGGCGACTCTGCAGACACCGCGGCCTCACTGCGCAGCCCAGCCCGCAGAGGAGGAGGCTCTCTCCTGAGTCCGAGTTCAACCAAGAAGCTCTCCCCTAAGGGCTCTACTCGTGAGCGATGCTGCACGAGGAAACACGACAGGGCTACTCCTTCTGGCAGTTCAGTGCGTCCCGCCAGTCCATTCTCACATTCTGATGGGAGTCTACTACCATATTTCGCCATGTATAATGCACAGTTTTTTGCCCAAATTTTTGAGGGGAAAATAAGGATGCACAGTATATACAGATAGTACAAACTCTGTGTCTATATAAATACTTTCAATTCTATGCTTATGCATTAAAAGTGTAACTCTGGAAAGCCATAACGATATCCGTATATAAAGTAATACCCAGGAATAGGATAATCAGTTTTGTTTTTAAATATAAATAAATAAAAACTTGAATTAAAAAATTAAATCAGAAGATGTTTTTCCTGAAAGTTTGGGCCAGAAACATGGGCGCACACTATACATGGGAGCATGTTCTACACGGCAAAATATGCTACATTATTTCTTGAATAAATGAGAAAACAAGTGTTTAGGGCTCTGAGGGGGACAATGGGGGTGAACTGGAAAGACAGCCTGTCCAGCTTTCAGAATTTGGTTGCATTTCAGGGACTCTACCAGGGAACGAACTTCAAGGACCACTACCCAAAGCCAAGGCAGACCTGGAGCTCCAGACCAAGAGCCTCATGTAAAGTGAGGATCCCCGGACGCAATGCACCCACAGAAACACGCCTGGGTGGTACCTTGGCCGAGTCTGTGATGTTATCCCAGTAGGGGGCTGGAAACTCGAGCTTCCCAGCCAAGATCTGGTCAAAGAGATCTTCCTGAAGATTGTTCTCACTGTGGGTGACAGAGAAATGGAGGAAGAGCCCAAGTCACCATCGAGTTTTCCAACAAAATGTTCACGGGAAAAGAGGGGACAGGAGTCCAGCCTCTGGCTGGGGTATTTCCTATCTCCGCTGGATTTGTGGAGGCATATTTTTCCTTGTAGACATGAACTCAAGAACACGTCCACGGGTCAGGGAATCAGAGAGGGAGAGACAGCAGGCAGACACGCGAAGACCTGAGAAATGTGCTGAGTGTTTCAGAGCCTCAGCGTGGGGGGCGGAGGAGGCCTGGAGGTGTGTGGCAGTGATGGTCGCTCAGCAACTCTGTGGACATGCTAACGTCACTGACCTATACACTTAAATGGCTGAAATGATACATTTTGTATTATGCGTATTTCGCCTCAATAAAAAAGACAAGAAATCACAGGACCCACAAATCATATAGATCCTCATTTCAGAAAAGAATCTCAGCATCTGCCCCCAGTTAATCTCTCGAGGCAACAGAGTGGAAAAGCGGCTTGTCTGAGTGCGATCTCCTTGCCCTTCCTCTTCCCAGTTTTCCAACTGAACAGCCAGAGACAGTGAAGCAGCCAACTCAGGAAAAAGCCACATGGAGTTCAGAGTCTGGGGAAAACAGTCCTGACGTGATTCACTCCCCATGGGAACCGGACTTCTGGTCAAGCTCTGTCTGGGAGAAAGAGCCCACCCCAGGACATCGGCCAGAATTGCACTGGTTGAGACAAAGGCTCCTCACGGCCCCCAGGTGGGTGTTCATCATCCCTAACCTGTGCCTACTTGTCCCACACGCAAAGAGACATTTGCACATGACTGGTGTGTAGTGAATGCATGACGGCGTGACTTGTGGTGGGAAGCATGGAAATATGAAAACACTGCTGGGGAAAACTCAGCACGCTGGACACCCCCTCCCCAGAAACCTGCATCCACACAGCCATGGAGCCCCTCATCCCCTGGTGGCTCACTGATGGCCAGGGTGAGAAGCAAGTCATTACAAAAGCCCTGGTAGAAAACTCAGGAGGGACTGATGGAGTCAAGGTCAAAGTCCGGGAATGGAAGTCCAGTCTCACCTGGCAAGGGTACATCATTTCTGCTGGAGCTCTCAACTCGACCCTGCAGCCTGTGCTCAGGGCGCTCATGGGGTGGGTGGGGGGTGCACCCAGCCCTCTGGGTGGGAGGCTGGTCATGCTACCGGCCCTCTCAGAGAGGGCAAGGACAAGTGTGGTGCCCTTAGAAATGGGTCGTTCAGGACAGTGCCTAGAGACAAACTCAGGCTGTGTGATGATGTGGCTGCTTCATTCTCGTTCTATGAGAGAGGGGGGTTCGTGAGATGTGTCCACAGCACTCCCCGAGCCCAGCCGAGTCTGCAGCCGCTGGTCCGTGGAGTCCGGGGCCACAGGCACGTGAGAGGCAGAAGTCGGGCCAGGAAACCAGGCCAGCAAGAGGTCCCCCCGGCCCCACGCTCCTGAAAACTGGTGTTCTTGGAGTGTGTACACATGGTTTCTTTCTAGATGTCTACGTGTTTCCCTTCACCTTCCCTCCTGACTGCGCTCAGCTCCATGTCCTTCAAAATGAGGGAAGGACGCATGTGAAACACAATGAGGTTTTACAAAAACCTTTAGACAACCAGGGGCCCCCAGAAGCCTAATGTTAGAAGCTATACAATAAATCACCGATTTCTAGAATCATTTCTTTTAGCCATCTCTCTCTATTACTCCACTCATCTCCCTTTTTCTCCCCTGAAATCTCAAGTGACTTATATTTGGTTCATACATATGGCTTTTATTTTGCTGATAAACAGCTAAAAAGTTGGAAGTGAGGCTGCAGCATTCATTTGGGTTCTTGGCAACACAGCCCAAACCAACAAACAAAACCCTGGAATGTCCTGGCACTTAGAATTCACCCGGAGAACCCACGCTGTGAACTGCAGGAGCTCCAGGCCCCCTCCCTAGAAGAACAGAAAGCTCCACATAATTTTCTCTTCTTAGTAGTCACATAAGAAAATCCGACCTGCTTGGATCTACGCTAGGTTTACGAACACACTTACGCTCTATAATCTGAGTGAGATGCTTCGGGACACTTTCGTGTTCTAAACAACACAGCCTCTGGATCAAGGTGCTGGAAGTCTAAAAATGTCCATTAAGAAAAACCTCGAGAACCAACCAAAAAAGTTTGCGTCCATTCTTTTTTTTCAATGGAGAGTCAGGTGAGGTAAAAGTCCAGCAAGAAAACTGGAAAGTGTTGGTAAGCTATTTCATGAATTTTGTCCAAACTGACCCCAAGTCACGTCTCCTTCCGTCACCATTTACGCCCCCTCTACCCTCATCTACCTCCTGCCCCGCCCCCCGTAAGCACCATGCTGGTGTCTGTGTCTGAGGGGTTTTTTTGGTTTGGTTTTGCTTAATCCCTTCGCCTTTTCACCCAGCCCCCAGCCTCCCTCCCCAGCAGCTCTCACTCAGCTCTCTATCTAGGAGTCTGTTTCTGTTTTGTTAGTTTATTTTGTTCATTAGATTCCACATTTAAGCGAAATCACATGGTACTTATCTTTCTCTGATTGTCTTATTTTACTTAGCCTAATACTCTCCAGGTCCATCCAGGCTATCGCAAAAACTAAGATTTCTTCTTACAGCCAAACAGTGCTCTCTTGCATACATGTACCACAGCTTTTTTTACCCACTCATCTACGGTGGGCACTTGGTGGGAATGCAGACTGGTGCAGCCGCTGTGGAAAGTGGTTTGGAGTTAACCTCAAAAAATTAAAAATGGAACTGCCTTTTGACTCAGTGATCCCACTTTTGGGAATTTATCCCCCGCAAAGCCCCAAAACACTAATGCAGAAGAATCCGTGCACCCACACGATCACCGTCAGCGGCCCTGAAGCAGACTTGCTTAGGCGGTAACGAGGGTCCGTTCCCTAGAAAACCGGAGCCCTTCCTGGTGCCAGTGAGTCTGGGGCTGAGAAGGATGAAGGAGCCACGTGTCAAGCTAAGTCTAAAGCCTGAAGAAACAAAAATGAGAGACACCAGAGCTAAAGAAGCTGAGGCTGTAAATTCCAAGCGACAACTTCAATTAAGAAGCTGTGGGTTAAAATTCTCTTTGGTTTCAAAACAAAGAAAATGTTTTGAAGTATTTGTTTGAAGGGACTTTCACTTTAGGTACAAATGTAGGTAAATGATTTATTTTATTCCACGGTCCTGTATTGTTATTTAAACTACCATTTCCTAATTTAGCCCACAGGCAGTTGACTTTACAGCAGGTTCCGGAATCTCTCCGGAATGTCCCTGGGCTGGGAAGACGCCCCTGTAACTGGCATTCAACACCACAGATTCCCTTGCATCACAACCTACGAAAGAGGGAAAGCATTTCCGTAAATGTCAGCAGTTGTAAAACCAGTTTCTGGACACAATGGATAAGGGCGGCCGACTTCAGAAGGGAGCGTTGCAGCCTTCAGGGCTGGACTTATCTCCAGATCCCACAAAGAGGCTGCTGTCCACTGGGTATCCATGCATACCCATATTTGTTTACTGGGAGTCTCACTTTTGTGTGAAAAGCTAGGTCCAAGGAAACACTCCCAAGCTGCACTGGCAAGTGGAAACACTAGGGGGAGTTGTGAGCACACGTTCCTCTAAAACTGATCCCTGATACCCTTTTCCCATGGGCCTCAACTTGGGTCAACCATCCTGGAGGAGACTTACGCAGTGACCGGCCCCTAGATCACCAGCTATCAAACGCACCAACCTCTGTGCTGGACTAGTTCCCAAAGCAGGCCATCACGGAAACCAGCCAGGGCACAGCATGATGGAAAAAAATGGCCATGAATGATTCCCCTCCCCCTAACTATGCGTTCTTAATCTCCCCCCACACCCAGTGCGGGCTTAGCTATTTGACTTCATTTGGTCCAGGAGACATCCATCAACAAATGGGAGGTGCGCAGAGACTTGAAAGGTAGAAGAACTTGCCCTCTCTCTAGCTGCTTTGGGGATTCCTGAATCCGCTGTCATGGGAAACCCCGGCTAGCCCACTGGAGGCTGAGAGGCACGTGGCCCAGGGGTATCTGTCATCCCGGCCGACACCGAGTCAGCCGCCAGGCATGTGAGCGAGGGCACGCCGGACCATCAAACCCCCGCTGGGCCAGCCAGGTCCAGAGCCCCGCCAACTGACCCACAGATCTGACAGCCCGAACTCGTGGGGTCATTTATTAGTCAGGAAGTGTTAACTGGTAGGTGTGATAGTCCTACAGCTTGTGTGACCCACCTAGGCAATGACCTTGATGGATGACTGTGATGTTGATGGCCAGACAGAAAGCTTTCCACCCACAGAAACCCACCCTGCCACAAGGACAAGGGTGCCCCCATCTGCTGCATCTCCCACGACACGCCTGTGGTTCCCAGCCCTCGTGAGAACATGCCCTCGGGCTCTGGTTATCTTCTTGCTCCGCGCTCTTGGGGCCTGCGTCTCCACTACACAGACTCTCGCAAGGAGGGACTGGCCTCTTGGCGTCCCTCCTGCGTTCACTGCCGTGTCGGTTAGAACATTCAGTTCAACTGAACGTCGATAATTTAAAAAAGATAAAACCTTCCACTCTTCTGAATGTTTGAAGCCTTTCATAAGAAGATGTTGGGAGGTGGTGAAATACCTCTGCCTTTCACTTACTGATGAAACACCACACTGTAGATACTGCGACACCAGAGAGTGCGCTGATTTGACATTTGGTTCCTGGCCCTTAGAATCCACAGCAGTGATTCAACAAGTAGGAGTAAAGTGAGCAAGAGAAGAGATTAAAATGAAAAGAGAGCACAGGAAAACTCAGAAGAAAATGAAAAGTGCATCCCCAGGTAAACCTCGCCTTCCTAGTCATTCGTCAGTCATTTGTCATTCATTCGCTCCAAAGGATGAGCTGGGACTGACTGAAAGAGGTGCTGTGGGCGGAGCCCGTGCTCAGGCCACGCCCATGCACTGCCGAGTAACAGGCGTTCTTGTGCCCCGCGACACACCCTGCCCCGCTCTGGGCCACCTCTGCTCCTACCCAGTGAGGCGCTTGCTTCCCAGAGACCTGATCTGCTGGTCCCCAGGCCTGTCTGTGTTGAAAGCATTGGTAATTCTACCCCACTAAATAGTACATGAATGGGTAGAATGAACTTCAAAAGTTTTCCGTTTCTGTTATGAGAACTAGATGGAATGCTTTAGAGGGTGAATTCTTAAAGAAACTGTTCCCCAATGAAGTAGGAGAGACAACTATTAAAAACTGGAAAAAGGTTTTCCTACAAGGATCAGTTTGCTTTACAAAGATCTTTAAATCTTACCCCCCTTGAGAATAATGAAAAAATGGGAACCGGAGGCAGTGGGTGATGGTGTGTCTCACAGAAGAAGGACCACAAGACACTCAAGAGGACCAAACACAAAGCTAAGGCCTTGGCCTCACACCAGAAGCATAGGCAAGGGTCCTGGCCAGGTAGCTCAGTTGGTTAGAGTGTCATCCCAGTACACTGAGGTTGTGGGTTCAATCCCCGGTCAGCGCACATTCAAGAATCCAGCAAGGAATGTATGAATGAACAACAAATCAGTGTCTCTCTCTCAGATCTCTCTCTCTCTTTCTCCATTCCCCTCTAAAATCAATACATTTTTTAAGTAAAAAGTCAAGGGATATACATTAATAGGTTTTAAATTAGATAAAGAGTGAAAGGCATGTTGATGTAATCTTTAACTGACATCTTATTACCCAGTTTCTGGTCCTGATTTGCCGGAAGTAAAATGTCTGCTTCCTAATTGAAGGGAGAGAACTTACAATTCAAATACTGCCCCACAAAGGGCCACTGACCTTCGGAAAGGGGGGAATCCACAGAGGAGTATGTACGTGATCACGCCGGCCGCCCAGATGTCCACCTTCAAGCCATAGCTGGGGAAACACAGTGGGAGGGGGCAGAGAAATAACCATGTTAGCCCCAGAACCCTGCACATTTCTGGAGTACTTGCCTTTGTGAGCACAAAAAGGGTCTTTTCAGCATCAAACTGTTCATTTCATGTAGACGAATGGATTGCCCTTTGGACAGAGGCATCTGCTTTTCTCCCAAACCTGATAACAATCCTGGGGACTACTGCCACGTTCCCAAGACCAGCCTCGGGACAAAAGTCCAGGCCCAGGGCTCTTGCACGTAGAAGCACAAATTCAAGTTTCTGAGATCAAAGTTACGGTGCAAGTCAATAGTCTCTCCCTCCCCCGCACCTTCCCCGGAGTCACATGACACACAGCGGCAGGAGCTAAGCCAACCTTTCCCCTCCCAAGAGAAAGCACAGCCCAAACCACAAACACCTTACCCGGTTTCGGCAATGATTTCTGGGGCCACGTAAGTCGGTGTGCCGCAGACGGTGTACAAGGGGCCTTCCACCACAGTGGCCAGCCCAAAGTCGCCCAGCTTCAAGGACTTGGTGCCATCGGGATACTCGCACACCTGCAACAGAAGCCAGCCAACCATCACAAGCTGTGTTTTGCCTCAACGATTCCAAGAGGGCCCTTGGAATTAGGTAGAAATGGCGTGGAGACCTTGACCTATAGCCTCAAAAGAAATCTCTCCTTGTGTTAATATCTTTGTGATTTACCTTTGATGCTTTTAAAGCTCTAATTTTGCTCTTGAGATGAGAGATTTTTGCATGATTTTGTGGAATTTTTTTTTTCTAATTTTTTCTACTTTTGCAAAAAAGCACCTTACCTAGGAGTTCAGTGGACACGTGTGCATGCTCACACGGTGCTAGCGATGTGGCGGCTGCCCACCTGGGGTGGTGGCAGGGCCTCTCACCGGGAAGCAGGAAGTGGCCTGCACTGCAGGCTGGCTGTGACTGCCAGGGACACCCTGGAGCGTCTCAGACGTGATGTTTACTAAGTGCCACCCAAGCACCAGGTGTTCTCTATGAGCCTTGCCTGTTTCGTTTAGAAAAGTCAATGACGACGATAAATATTACATGGGGGGAGTCTTGGAAGTTTAGACAGAACATGAACTTGGGTTCCAGACAGCCTGAACCTGAATACCCAAGCACTCCCCTCATTTGCTCGTTATGTGACCTTCAAAAGCCACTCGCCTTCTCTGAGCACGCTGCCTCATCTGTGAAATGGGACCACAGGGGGTTAATGTGCTGATCAAATGAGACCAGGCTCAGAGTGGGGCTCCATGAGTGTTCCTTCCCTCCCCTGGCAGGTCTGGCTGATTAGATCAGACAGTCACCGTATTGGAAAAGGTTTAACAATGTTGGTGAAGGTGTCAAAGTTTTTGCTTAAATCGAAGCAGCCTTTCTAGAAAGTACTTCAGCAATATACATATTTCTTAATATCACTGATCCAGTAGCAATAAGAACTAACCCCTACTGTGGCTGATGTGGCTCAGTGGTGTGACTGCTGGCCTGCAAACCAAAGGGTCACTGGTTCAATTCCCAGTCAGGGCACAAGTCTGGGTTGCAGGCCAGGTCCCCAGAAGGGGGCATGTGAGAGGCAACCACACATTGAAAAAAGAAAAAAAAAAAACAAGAACCAACCCTCAGGGAATAGAAATGGGCCTGAACGTTCTAAACAAGGCCACCGATCTCAGAATTTTTCTGTGTTATTTAAAACTGGAAGCAACATAAGTCACAGTGCATCCCTGTAATAAACTATTATGCAGTCACGAATAAGCACATTTCAAAAAATATTAATCATATGGACAACAATCAATATATTACATAAAATAAAAAGGAACATTCAAAATTCTATATATATTTAAATATATATAATATAATACAGTAAAAAGTTCAGTTTCTCTCTAGGTGCTAACACTGAGGATTACTTTAACTTTCTCCCTTATACTTTTCAGTAGTTTCCAATGAGCATGTGCTGGTTCCGTAATTAGGAACAGTTTTATATACAGGCACATTTTCCTTATGGGGTAAAAGTCTGGAAGTTACATTCTACATGGACGGTCTAGGAAGCAATCAAGGGTGCAGGAGAGCATAGCTCAGGTCTGAGCTCTCGAACGTGCTTGTCCATTCGTCTCTTGGATGTCCGCCCCGAAAACACCGGATTTCAGGGAATAACTGCATAGACCTACTCTGTACTCACACGACGTCTTTCTCCATTGTAAACTGATTTAGCTTGCTTTTCCTTGTATTGTAGTATGAACTCACCAGATTTTCACTTAAATTACCACTTAGGCGAGGAGGTGGGAAGTTTAGAAAATTGTGTTTTCTCAAGATAAGCATGTTAACAGCACCATCCATTAGTCTGGTACTTACAGAGGGGAGTGATTTATACAGCCATCAGTAAAAAGCATCAGGAACCTCAGGGCTCCCCCCCATTAATGATCCCCAGTCTCTGCGGGCATTTAAAACAGGGTGACGCTGAAATACCGGCTGTACATGCGGGGTCCTCGTGAGTTTGAGAAGAGTGCTCCTCCCCGAACGTCCTGAGAGCTGCTTCCACGTTCCTGGGGGGGGGGGGGGGGGCTGACACACACCCGGCGCAGCACCGCTGCAGGGCTCCCGGGCCCCCCAGGCGCAGCCCTGAGGACTTCGAGTCTCTCGCAGACGTTTATCACCCTGAGCCGGCCCACCACCCGGCAGGACCCCAGTCAAAGCTACGAGCGATTCAGCCCAAGGCAACAGAAGCCAGGTTCTCAGTCCTGCTGGAGTCTGAGGACGACTTTCCATCCATTACGTTTAATGTCAACATTAGCGAGACCACGCCGAGGTAGGAAATTACAGTTAGAATTTATGACGCATTTACTGAAACCCAGACTTGGGAAAGAAATTCCCCAAGTAATTGCAGTGATAAGAACATTATAAACAACGTTATAATTCTAAATGTATCATGAGAGTTAGAAAAAAAAGTTTTATTCGTGACATTGTTATTTTGTTTTTATAACTTTAATATACACTCATTAGGTACATTTTTGAAAAATAGTGTTTCTTTTAGACATTCAATTCAGGGGTGCCTGGGGGTATTCCAGGGCTGCTGTCGGACCTCGGAAGCCCCAGAAGTCCCGTTTTTCACGGCCCCTGCAAGGAATGCAGGCTCAGACGCGGGAGCAGGAATAGAAAGGGGCTGAGCAGTCTATAATCGCTGAGTTATGTCTGAGCAAGTGGTGCTTCTTGGCTAAACATCAAAAGCGAAGTGTCAAAAGGGGCAGACAAGCCTGAAATAATAATATTTAATCTGACTTATCCCTCCCCAATGCTAGACACAGAGGCAAATACGTGAAAGACAATTTGAGTGCATTTCAGATCTCAGCTGGAGATTCTCTTCAAAGCAGGAAAAACATCTATCCCCCCATCAGCCTGCATACGGCACACACACAACTACGGCTGACACGGACGCGCACGCAGACGGTGCCGCTTTAAGGAAGCAATTTCCAGGAAGAGGGGAAGGGACGCACAGGGGCCCGGCCTTCTGTGCTGGCAGAGTGTCGGTCCTCCCCAGCAATTGACATCCTCCCCGGACGCTGCAGATTTCCGTGGTCTCCCTGGACGGCTACGGTTACCCCATGGGCAGTTAGGAAGAGAACTGTTGCCTCCCCTTTACAGATGAGGAAACAGAGGCACAGAGGACCCCAGTCACGAGTGGCTGGCCAACAGCACTGCCATCCCAGCGCGGGTCTCAGGACAGTCGTTTGGAAAGCAGCAGCAGCAGCAGAGCTGGCAGAGCCCTGACCGCAGCGGCACACGCACTCACAGTCGGGGCGAGCCCCAGCGTCCCGCCGTGAGCCCTGCAGCCCCGGCGCCCGCCACAGGCGGAGGCGCACTCCGTGAAAAGTTGCCCTCGGAATGCAAGAATAAAAAATGGGAGGCATGCAGATCCCACATAGGAAGCGAGCGCCGCACGCACGCTCTCTAAATAAAATGTCAGCGTGGTGATTTAGAAGGACCTCGGATGCGAGAAACCAGCCCTCTTCCCGGCTGTCCCCAGAACTCCTGGAGAGCGGATTTATCGCTGGCCCCTCGTAGTTAACTGTGACAGGGCACCCGCGGCCGTAACTCACCACGTGCACGGCCAGCCCCGGGCTCCCTGACACGGCGACCCACACGGCTCCGACCGCAGGGCGTTCAATCACGACACCCGCCACCGGAGCAGGGGGTGCAAATCGGATGCCTGAACACCAAAGCTAAACTTGGTTCTGGAGCAGGAAGAGGCTGACGGCCACCGTGTGCTGACTCTCAGTGCCTCGATGGCACTGCCTCCCGCTCGGCCAGTGCCAGCCTGCTGACTCGGTCGAGAGCCTGCTGTGTGGTCTAGGTGGGTGTTCAGTGGCAGATGTGGGCAGCTGAGGGCATTTGAGGGCTGACCTGACCACCCTTCTTTCTATCCCACACATCGGCTTCACCCAGACGTCACTTCCATCACCTCTGTCCTCCTCCGCCCCTTCGGGCAGCACAAACAGGTGGGGGCAGGTCATGGGGATGGGTGAGTGGGCAGCTAGGCCAGCCACATAGGAGACCTCGCCCCCCATGACAGTGTCTGCCCTCAATGCAGGACAAGGGAGCCGATCCTGGGGTTCTCCATGCAGTTACAGTTGTGAGTGGAAAACAGAAGAAACAGGGGTGTGAGTGGAACCGGTGGGCTGGAAGTGGACACAGTGGTTTCCAGGCAAGTTCACTGACGTCTCAGCAGTGTCTTTGAGGGGCCCTAACAACCGTGGCTGGGGCTGGGGCTGGGGCTGGGGCTGGGGCTGGGGCTGGGACTGGCCCCACAGTGGCCAGTGTCCTCGGGGACTGTGGCTCCTTTATCCTCAGAGGACATCAGTAACTGCAGCCACGGGGGTGAGGGGTCAAGCACGATGCGGAGAGATCGAGGGGGAGTCTTCATTACTACCACAGTGTCATGTCTGGCTGCACCCGGGGAAAGTCCTGTCACCTTCGCTCGTGGGGCCCCTGGCGGAACCCGGCCAGAGGGTGGGGGAGCCGGGGCCTGGCGGACCCCGTAGGTCACCATGAGTGAGATGCCTGCTTGGAGGAGAGAACACCACATCCTGACATCCTGACTTCCACCGCAGGCCCAGTTCACACCTCGTTCTCCATGCCTCCTTCAAGTTCATGACGCTGAATCCATGCTACATCTTATTTTACAGAGCACGGGTACTTATTTTCCTGCTAGGAGCAGGTAGCCATGAAACACAGTTCCCTCTGAGAAGAACACAGTAAGGACAAACCTTACATATTCTCAAATGGATGCTCAGAAATCATCAGATGGTATTGCCATAAGGAGAAACCAGATATGCTGGATGGGCAGGAAGTCCCTGGCATGGCCTTGAAGCCAGCCCAGCAATGCACAGTCCCTTCCTTCAGTAATCATCTGCATAGTGCAAGCGTGACCCAGGCAGTGAAGACCTGTGCTCGAGTGCCAGCAGCTAGCCAGCTGGGGGAGCATTAGTCGTCAGTCACCAAACATTCACTCCACATCCACTGTAGCATTATACTCGGCACAGCTTAAGGCACTGAGGATATAAAGATAATTGAGACACAAACCTTGTCCCTAACAATTCATAAAACCCAGAGTAGGAGACAGACAAGGAGATGACAAATTCAGCACTCTGTGGCAAGAAACCAGAGGTGGCCACAAGTGACTCTGCCCAGGGGTGAGGTCAAAGACGACATGCCTTTCGCTCAGCTGTCTTACAAGACCAATGTGTTTGTCACATTGCTGGGAGGCAGGACACTACAAACAGAGACTAGTATGGACATAGGCAGATGATGTAGAATGCTGTTGATAAAGTTAATTAACTACAGGGAACAGGGAACCTACAGTGGGATTAACATGACACGAAGACTCAGACAACCCACCTCCCAAAAGGTGACGATGCCCCGAAAGGCAGGACCAGATAAGCCAGCTGTCTCGTGTATGTTTGCGGGGTTGGGAGTGGTGCACACACCACGCTCCAATCAGCATCTCTAAAATTCCTCTGCAATGCAGACACAAGGATGGGCCCAAGTAGCAAGCTTTGTTTAGTTATGAGGGCCCCCAGGAAGGTGTGTTACATGTGGCTTAAAGGTGACTGCCACCTGGCTGGCGGGTGGGGAAGGGGTTGGTAACAGAGGAGAGGCTGGAGAGGTAAATTGGGGCCAGATTATAAAGCACTTTGAGAGCCACAGCATGAGACTTTCTTCTGTAGAACAATGGGGCAAAAAAGACTTTTAAGCAAGAAAAATTGGCATCTCTGGGTCTCACTTTCTGCGTCTGTAAAGCTGAGATGCACGCACTAGATGTCCGAAGTTATGTCCAGCATTTAAGTGAACGCTCATGTGCTGATTCTATCTCTAATCTATTCTTCAGAATATTCTGCCTCAAAATAATTTCCCTGCTCACCTTTCTTCAGACAGCACCATCAACAATGAGTACGTGAAAACACACTTTCTAACGTCTGGTAAATGACAGCTGCAGAAATGCAGATCCACTGAAGAAACTCATTGACATTTTGTGGTCATGGACTTGCAACAGATGGATTTTCGAAATTTAACCTCTCTCAGCCCCCAGGACTGGTCTGGACTCTGAACCGTCACTGTCTGCACATGACTGTGGTCATGGTAAAGGAGGAGAGGCCTGAGCAGGAACAGCAAGAGCAGGGGCACGTACCAGGAGGTTCTCCGGCTTGATGTCTCTGTGCACGATGCTGAGGCCATGGAGGTACCTGAGGGCGTTGGCCAGGTTGTACACCATGGCGCTGCCGTCGCGCTCGGTGTACTTGGTGGAAGAGGTAATTGCATCGAAGAGGTCTCCACCCTACAGGATGCAAAAGAACACATCGAAACGTCAACTGTGGCAGTCCTGTGAAGTTAGGCAAGAAGGTTCAGCAGCCTGGAGGAGATAAAAAAAAAAACATGCCACTACAATGGATGATTATAAATAAAGTTTCAAGGTGGTAAAACCCTTTTCTGATTAGGTCCTTCAAGACTACAGTTACGTCTTGGGACTTGGCACCAAGGAAATCTCTCCGTCCTCTTACTTTGACCAGCTCCATCACCAGAAAGAGCTCCGTAGCCGTCTCCATCTCCTCGACCAGCATGATGATGTTCGGGTGCTTCACTCGGCGCAGGATGGACACTTCATTCTCGATCAGGTGCTCCTGCCGAGCAAGGGGGGAGAGCGGGTCAGACGTCACAGAAGCCTCTGTCCAGCCCTGTGCTCAGGAGGACAACGCAGTCCACAGACCTGATGCTCAGAGAAGCCCTTCCCTGGGAACGGAGACTAACCAGACCCTGGCCTCGCTGGTTTCCATGGGGACAGGACAAGTCAGTGTGCCATCTCATTGTCACTCACACCCGCCCGAAGGCCTCAGCGGTTCTGCCTTGGCACATAACACAGGCTGCCTTCCGGCCTCTTCGTTACTTCCCCCAGCTTATCAAGAGGTCTGAGCTACGAGAGCTTCGGCACACTGTGCTGCACTGCCCTGCGCAGTGGGGCTGGAACCACGTTTTGATTTTGGGGTAGTCCAAGCCCAAGACCAGGCACACCAGGACACTTGGCACACTCTTGGTATAGGAGACTTGGGCGTTAAAGTGTGTTTGTTGTTTTTAAACCAGTACTAACATGAATTTGAAATTTACATTGAAATTCCTGAAAAAAAAAACAAAACTTTCTTTCTCTATGACTGGAGATGAAATCATTCACCAGAGGATGGACATTATCGCCTTGCATTTCAGAAATCAGGAAACACCCAGCACCATGAGGACCACTAGTCACACAGTCTCATTTTCTCCTCTGCAAACACCCGCCCCCCACGTACCAGCCCTGGTGAGCCGTGCAGCTGGGACCAGCACTGCAGCCAAACGTTCACTGGCAGCGTGAAGGGGTTGTTCTCAATACACCACCCACCACTCACGAACCACTATCGCCCTGTGTTATCATGAGACATGAAAAGCTCTCAGTGTTGTCACATGTGCCGACCCTCATTGACTGTAATAATAAATATTTTGCATGCAGGGCATCCTCTGTAAGACTAGCTAATTGCCATCTGACACATTCTAGGTATTCAAATATACCTCTTATATAAAACTTACCTTATGAGAGTCACCATTTGCTACCTAAATCACACATATGCACATATCAGTGTGTGTGTGTGTGTGTGTGTGTGTGTGTGTGTGTCCCTTATGCTCTCCCTTTGCCTTTGCGATCATGCATTTTAGAGCTGAGTGTAATGTTCCGCTGCAGTGGGGACTTAATTATCTCTAGTTCAAGACACTTTTTTATGGTTCTTCTCTTGTCGTCATGCATCCTTGCGTACATGTATTTTTACTGGAAGCCACCGCAGATGCTCTCTGATAACGGCTGGCAGTACAAGCAGTAACAGTAAGTCACAGGCAGAGAAACTCCGTTGCAAGTGCCTGCATGGGGTGGGCTGTTTCCTGAGTGCTGAGTGCACTGTGCTCGTCCCAGTCCTCACTCAGTGAACGATGGCAGATGACAGTGCCAATGCCAGTCAGAAGTAGGGGAGAGAAAAGAACCAGCGCTGACTGGGAGTCTAGTCACGCACTGGTCCACTGCGGGGCAGGGTGCTCCTGTAACATCCTAATGCCTCATCCTGAGAACCGCCCTTTGAGGCAGAATGCAAACCTCGGGTTCCTGGCATCCAAGCCCACGTGTGTTTGTGCTACCCAGCATCCCCTTTCCAAAGGGACTGCTTTGCTAAAAGTCAGCTGGAGTTTTTCCAAATGGAAATGATGGCTGCAAAGCTGAACCGATTTTAAATCCCTTGAAGAGAAAGGAACTAGAGGCTGCATCACACGGCACTGGGCGGTAGGGCAGAGCCACACCAGGCTTCGTGCAGGAAGGGAAATCTGTCCCTCAATGAGCAGGGCTGGGACGTCTCTGCCCAGTGTAGGACTCAGCAAAGGCTTCAAAATCCCCAGGAAAAAGCAGTGGTTCTCAGACCCAAACACACCTCATCTGGGAGGCTGGGGACAGGGCGGCCCACCTGTCCCTGGCCCCTGTGTCTGAGTCACAGAGCAGCAGCCTCACAAGCAGCAAGCAGCCCCCTGGGGCCTCCCCAGGGACACAGCTGTGCAGCCTCCCCCTTGTGGTCACAGAGACAAAGGCCCCACAAACACTCCAGCTCTGCACAAAACTTATTTCGAAGCCTCTGCATCACGGGTGCCCAGCAAAGCCCTTAATCACACCGAAGAGCAGTTGGCTGGACTTCCATGGACACGTAAAGGCGAGCCAGTGAGTTTATCTCACTCCCCGAGAAGCCAAGACGACAGCAGTCACTCCCACTGTGCCAGAGGAGGCACTTTTTAACAAGTTAAATGGACTGATCACTTTGGTTCTCCTGCCTCCCCATCGCCCGCTCAAGTTGGAAGTCTGTAAGTCTACCTGTTTGCAATGTTAATTTAGAGTCTCATTGGTAAAATACCCCCATCACTGGAGCCCAAGAACTCTCTCTGACTGGAGTCAGAATATGAGGTCTGCCACCTGAGGAGACTGCACCTCCCCAAAGGTATCCTTTCCAATAGAAGGCACAACCGGAAGTCCCCTGGGACGCACCGTGGAACTTTCGCGGGACCACAGGGGTGGGGCATTTCACCCAGAGCTCGGTGTCTCCTCTGTCACTGCTCACCCTCTCAGCTCCCCACGTCCTACTCGACCACGGGTGGCACTCAGAGCACAGAGCACATGCTGCTGTTGGGCTGTGGGAGCCCTCGGCCCCTGTCCACGCCCTGTGACTACGCCTGTCCAGTTGTCTGTGCAGGAACTAATCACCATCATAAGCAAAACAAAAGCCACGCCTGAAAATCTTTACAAATGTTATCTTCCTGATTCTTATGGAACCCATATGTAATCTGAGCTTCTAACGCACAAAAATACTCTCTAGATTACATTTTTCCAGGAGAATATTTCTAAACACAACATAAACATCACTTTCGTTGGGAACTGCACTGAACGTACATGATTTGAGCATCTACCATGATTTATGTTAAGTGATTCAGGGTTTTGACTCCAAACAATTTACATATGAATCACTGGATGGCAGAGTTCCAGGGTTGTGCGGGAGAGTGAGTGACAAAGAAAACTGCTAACTTGGCAAAGGATACCCCCTTATCTTTGGCTCTGATGCTTTTTATCCTACAAAAAAGATAGAGATACAGAGACAAAAGAAGGAGGAGGAGGAGCAGGAGGGAAGGAGGGAAGGAGGGAAGGAGGGAGGGAGGGAGGGAGATTAGGGAATAAACAACTCTCCCAAACCAAACTAATCATCTTGTCTGCTCACTTTCCAGCTCCATAAACCAGCCCTTTCCTCTGGTGTCCAGCTCACTGAATGAACCTGGCTGCCCAGAGCAGACAGGAACCCCCCACCTGACCCTCCCTCCCTCACCCCCCGGGCAGCCCATCCAACACCCATCCCTGCCAGGTCTACCTTCTCAGCAGCCCCTGAACTCATCCACTCACTCCTCTCCGCACTGCAATCCCTCACCTAGACCTCTAGGTGGTTGCACAGGTAGTTTCCCTGTCTGGGACCTTCTTTCCCCACTTCTGGGTGAATCCCTGTGCCTTCCTCAGGACCAGATTAGATCTCACCTTCTCTAAACAGCCTCCCCTGCTTAACCTGGGCTGGGTTAGGTGTGCCTCTTCTTTGTTCCCACTGCCCTCGGTGCTTGTCCATCACAGCTCCCGCTCGGCTCTCCCAGAGATTTTCATTTATCCTGCCCTCCAGCCACTAGCGCAGTGAGCCCGGGAGTGCCCGAGTGAATGAGCACACACACACACACGTGCACTGCTCTTCGCCAACACTGGCTGGACAGCCGGTATCTCCACGGTATCTCTACTGTTCACTGAGCATTGCTGAGGACAGTAAGTCAGATAAAACATGGAAAGCACGGTATGGAATGTCTGGTAGAGGTATGCAATAGATCGAATAGTGGCTACCAAATACATCAGGTCTTTGGAACTCGTAAATATTGCTTTACTTGGGGGGGAAAAAAAAAGGTCTTACCCTTGTGATTAAGGATTCTGCAAGAGAAAACTCTGGGCTATCGGGTGCTACCACAACAGTCCCTCTGAGACAAGAGGCAGGGAGCTCTCCCCACTGAAGACATGGTGGCGGGAGGACGGGGCAGAGGTGAAGGGGTGATGTGACCACCACCCACCCCTAGAGGCTGTTTGGTCAGAAGCAAGGACCAGACACTCGCGGGGCCTCCAGAACGGACGTGGATCTCAGGCTCTGGGCCGCCAGAACTGTGATGGAGTGAACTTCTGCTGAGCTAAGTGAGCCACCAAGTTTGTGCTGACTTGCTCCAACACCCTTAGGAAACTACTACAACACTCATTTGCATTTACGTCCTGTCTGGGCTCCTAACACGAGGATAATGAACGCATCACTTTGGGAAGAGAAGGGAGGACCACTTGTAAGCACCAGAACAGAAAGCTCAGAGCTCCGGACACTGTGTGAATCACTCAATATCCATTTAGAAGAAATATTATTTAGAATATTAGACGTGGAAGAATTCTTGCATTTACAAACACCATAGCCTTCTCAACCGCCCCCGTAAACCTGGCCCCAAGGCAAAGCTTGCAATCGTCTCCTGCTCAGAAGACCCCAATGTGCGTTCTGTGCTCTGGGCCTTGGCTCTGGCTGGCAGGCTGTCCTCCCACTGCTTCCTACTGAAACCCCGCCACCTGCTGACGTCCAGAAAAAGGCTTCTTACTCTACGCCGTCCTCATGGACCAGCTGCTTCTCTCTCATATGCTTCCCCCCAAACTCCCATACCATTCTTTGCACCCTGCACACATGTCAAATTTTAGGTAAATGAGTAAATTTATCTAATAATGCCCATGTATATTACAGAGAAGCAAAGGGAAGATCAGAGAGGTTAAGAATTTTTCCCCCAGGTTGTTACTACAGGAAGAGATGAATAACTTTAACGTGGAGCGGGAGCGTGGTAGGCTGGCCAAGGTGCACGCTGAGTAACCAGCTGGCCCGAAACTCCCATTCCTGCCTGGCCTCTGTGTGACGCGTGGGAAGCTACTGAATGACTTTCTGTCTGTCTCTAATGAGACTGGTACATCTGCTCTGCAAGTCACTGAAAGTAAGGTACAGAGTCCGCACGTGTCCAAGCCTGGCTAGGTCACAGTTTAACCAAGGGAGGAGATGATTTCCAGCATTATTAATTTTCTGTGTACAACCCACAGATCAGATGTGACCAGCTATACCCAGAAGAGCGGCTGAATGCCTCCCTCTAAATTTTATTTGAAAAAAACAAATTCCCTACTTGTTTCTCTAGAAACAAAATCTAATGGGAAAATCAACTTGTTTGGAACAAATCGAGTTTTGGAATTATAATTTCATGGTGTCGGTGTGGAAACACACGTTCAGACACTGTGAGGACAGAAGTAAGGGTGTGTTCACGGTGCGTGAAAATGGAACGCCCCCCCCCCACCCCCGTAACAGGAAGACCAGATTCGGGGGGTGGGCGGGGGGACCTGCCCCTTTGCCTTGGCACTTACTGCACTGGAGACTGATTTGTTTGCATGGGAAAATTTTTTTTTCAACTACTAAAACAGCTGCTTAAATTTTAACCAGGTAAACAATATCTTTACCACAGCAATTTTTTTTACTTTTTTTGAAAAAATAATACAGTTGCTTAGGACATGGCTTCCAAATATGACACATTCTGCTCCAGCCACACATGCCGGACACCAAGAGTAGCACTTCCTCACCCCTGGGTGAAAGGCTCTGCGCTGAGAAATGTAACGTTATTGTTAGAGCAATAAGTAAAAGCACACAGAACTGAAGAAGATTTAGAAAAACCTTAGTTATTCGAGGAAAAGGGGGGCGCTCTGCACAGTCACCGTGCGGGAAAAACAAAACCTACGACAAATTCGCCTCCTGCACTCTGCATTCTGGGGTTCCAAGGAGATTTTTCTAAAACTTTCCCACAATACTTTAAGTTTTCTGCTAAAAATATACACATGTGTAAATGTCCGATGAAGACCAGTTTAGGAGTGCCATGAATGTAACACCATTACTATCACATAAAATCTTCCTAATTATAAATTCTCAATGCCTCAGGCATATTAATATCATTGACAGTTAACGTGTTACATTCTTATTAGTTACTGGTACTTTTCTATGTGTTTTCCACGCCTTAATCCCATCAGTCCTCACAATAATCTTGTCTAAGGTACTATTAACAACCGCATTTCTGAGAGAGACACAGAGGTACAGAGGTGTGAAATAATTGTTCCACGGTCCCACAGTGAAAAAGGAGGGGCAAAGAGTAAACTTCATACAATGCAGCCCCAGAACAGCATTATTCAACAGAACAGAACTATGATCTACACAGTCACTCTAAATTCACTAAAAGACATTTAAAATGCATGAAGCAAGTAAAATTAATATTACTTATTCAACCCAATATATCAAAAATATTACAGTTTCAACATGTAACCAGACACAAAAAATATTAATGAGATATCTTACATTCCTTTTTTAGTACTAAGTCTTCAAATCTGTTATGTATTTCTACACTTCGAGTAGATTTCGTTTCAGACCAGCCACAGTGTAAGAGCTCAGCGGCCATGTGCGGCTTGTGGCCCAGTGCTGGGAGCTGGGGTGAGTTCTGCAGCCTGCTCTACCTGCTAGGCTGCTGGAGTCTGACAAGGCCTTGGTTGTCACTGTTACAGAAGATGTATGTATCTTTTCGACCCAGGTGAAATATCTGGATGGTTTGACTTTAGGCGGTGGGCACACAGTGCAACACACAGATTCTGTATCGTAGAAATGTACATACACTTGGAAACCTGTATGATCTTATTAACCAATGTCATCCCCCCAAAATTTAATAAAAATTACTTAAAAAAATATCAGTACCCTAGCAGCATGCCCAGCTCCAGCTTGAGCGTGGGAGAGAAGAAAAAGTTAATCTGGTTGTGGAGACAAATGTTCCTGGAGTTTCTGCGCAGCTTTTGTTACCAACTACCTTTTCAAGAATGTCTGTATAATGAACACCCTTGGGACCTAGACAAGGGCTCCCTCAGGGGCAGAGGGCAGATTTGTTTCCTGACCATGACAACAAAGGGAATGTTCTCCTCTGGGGCAAGGGCTGGTTAGGTTTCCCAGCTGCTCTCCTAAGACTGGGGGTTTCCTAGGCCTGGGGAGCCCCTGCTGGGACACAGACCCGGCTGTGTGCACAGCACCCAGCGGGACCCCTCTGCATCACTCCTGGCGGGGAGCCGGTGCACACATGGCACTCAGGCCACCTCTGTGCCCCAGGTAATCACACTGTGTCCCTCTGGCCCGGGGAGCTGTGTCTTCCGCCAGCAGCCACGCAGCGGGGAGGCCACCTCGTTAGTCTGAAGGTGGGGTGAAGCCTCGGACCCCTCACCGCTCTTGCCACATCTTCTGTGTGTTGCTGAATTTTATTTAGAAACACACATCTCCCAGAGAAGAGAATTTATATTTTCTGATAGTGAGAACCAAGATCCAATCAAGGTACTGTTCAGGATTAAGGTTTCTGAAAAATGGCAGGGGGTGAGGGGTGTGGTGGGAAGCTTCGCAGTGTCCCTCTGTGACCCGAGGTCCGCTCCCGTTGTGGCCTTGCCAACCGAATCCCCACTAAACTCCGTCAGCCTGTGAACACCTCACCGGGGGTCTGCAGTTTCTTTCACAGAGCAGCTATGACGCCGTACCTTTCCACAGCATTTGGCTTTGTCTATGATCTTCAGGGCAAACTCCTTCCCAGTGGACCTGTGGGGTGGTCAGAGGAAGGCCGTTAGAGACATGAGTGAAAGCCGGCATCGTCACCCCTGACCCCCTCTCTGGCACAGAAGACCCGGGGAAGGGGTGCTGGCCGCCTGTTCCCCTGCACGTCAGAGAACGTGCTGAGTGTGTTGGGGAGGAAGGTGGCCCCCCACCAAAAGAAAAGACATCCCAAGCCACACCATCCATCTCCTTTTATAAATATTAATAATTGTAATATTATTACATAACTTACATATTAAAGGTACTTAAACTCTGTTGTATCAGACATGGACAAAAAAAAACAACCTGTTTTTCCACACTTAAATCCCAAAAGAGTTCTCTTGGGAGGAAGAATAAAATTAGGAAAAAGGAATCAACATTCCTGAAAACTTCCTACTACCGATATATATTTACATTAGTCTATTAGGTACTAACTAGTCCATCATACAAAACTGCACAGTCACCAGACTTTCACTATCTATCTCTCAGGCCAAACTCCATCTGGTGCCATCACATCTGGACCTTTAAAAGCCCATTTCTGGTACAAAAGAGATCATTTTATCAGGTATAAGAGTCTCAATGTTGTTATTTGACATTTAATCACTTTAGCATATTGCAATCTGAACGTGCCAGAACTTATCTTTGAGTATAGAAAACAGTTCAGCACAGAACACTGCAGTACTCTTGGGACTACATTAGCTCTCTCAAGTTCAGCTGCTTTTGTCAGGCGGTCGGGGGACACTGAGGAGGCCACCTCGGAAGAGCAACTTGTATTTAAATTGCTTCCCTATAGCATAAACCAAATTCAGATTTCTAACGAGGCTTTAGAAGTCATAATGCAGATGCTTAATTTGTTGCTTGGGAGGTAGTCTGCGTACGGAGCTCAGTCTATATAAGGCTGGGAGCGGTGGTCCCCAACCTTTTTAGCACCAGGGACCAGTTTGGCGGAGGACCGTTTTTCCCGGGGTGGGGTGTGTGGAAGGAGAATAGTGGGGTGGACAGGAGGCGGAGCTCAGGCAGTGTGATGCAAGCGAGGTGCTCGCTGGCCTGGCCTCGGCTGCCGCTCTCCCGCGGCCTGGCCCCGCTCCTAGGAGGCCAGGAGCTGGCCGAGAGGACAGGCAGCGACTCTGTGTACCAATACAAGGGCCACTCAAGCCTTGCTGCAGATGAAGCAGAAGGGGAAAATTAACGGTTACTGGAGCTTTCTGGAAAACGCCCCACAAACAGTAAAAAAGGACCACTTAGTCCAGGCAGGAGAGGAGCACAGAAACACAGACTCTATTCATCGTTTTCTCCAGCTTTAATCCTGTTTACAAAGGGCCAGACATTTAATAGAATAGATTTCTGACCGTTGAGAATTTAGGACCTTAAAATAAAGCTGGACAAAACACCTATGTCATTTTAAGATAGGTAACAGTTTAAGATATTGTTCTTAAATGGAGTCAGAGCTCCTATGTCCTGAACTACTGATTTATGCCCCTAAGTATTCATTGAGAGGGTTATTTGAGGATTAAATGAGTTAATGTACTGAGAACAGTGCCTGGTACAGATAAATGAAATAGGAGATATTTTTAAAGATCAATCTTATTTCCCATTTTTCTCTGGCTCATGGATAAGACCTACTACATTGCCCAGTCCAATTACAAAGCAGGTCCACACTCCATTTGCACACACACGTTTTCCCTGCCAAATTGCGTGTGCGCATGCAAAGCAGCTGGTCCCAAGGGGAGACTCTCCCAGAAGGCTTTTTGTTCATTCAGGGAAAAATACACTCCAAGGAGGAATGTAGGTGCAGGTGGAAAAACGATCATCCTCACTGAACACTCACCTGTCCACACACTCTTTGACGACTGCAAAATTGCCGTCACCAATAACCTTTCCAATTTTGTATTTCTCAAGAAGTGTCGATGATTCAGAGCACCTGTTCCCATTCACTCCTACAAAAAAAGGATAAGTGCAAAGTTGAAGGAAGGCATCAACATTTCATCTCGATTCCTACATACTTGTCAAATAACAAGTTGCAATGCATTTATTTCTAAATCTATAGTAAAACTGAGAAAAGTCTCTGAGCATATTGTCTGCTAGAATACCTGAATAATCGCCTTTCTTCTGACTTTACTGGTCGGAGTCAGAAACCAACATAATCAATAAACATAACAAGTCCCTGAAATACCAGCTAAAATAAGTGGTTAGCTTTGTGTAGAAAATAATTCTAAACAAAACTTTAAACTTTTTTTTTGGTCAAAGTTGAGAAAGAAGAAGGGTTTGATATTGGGATTTAATCTTAGAAATTTTCTCAAGACTCCTCCTCCAGCTTTTCTAGTAAAGAAAATTCTGGCCAGAGAGGGTGCCTTGTTAAAGCTAATTCCCCGCTCAAAGTCTTCTCAGACTGGCGCTGGTGGTAGGGCGTGAGGGCAGGAGGAGCACGTGGTTAAGATCGGCTCCTTTCCACAATGTATCGCAGCACATTGCAGACAGCATAGAAAGAAACACTACGGTTAAGTAACGGAGAGACGGGAGAGCCTGCGTTCAGGAAGTGGGAGCAGATTGCCACAAAGTGGAGATAAAGGAAGCTCAAGCTTGCGCTTTGAAACTGGGACAGCTTAACTAACAACCCCCTAGGGCTCAGCCCTCGACATGACCACGCCCCTGTTTAGGAAGATAATTCCACACAAGTGGATCTACAGTGGCCCCCACGTTCACCGGGGTGACTTCCTTTACGAAAGTAACCCTCAGAGGGAGCACTACCTTCGGGACTCAAACAGCGATCAAGTTCCGGTCCACCGTTTATGTTGGAAGAAGATCTGCCCTGTGCAGAAATCTGCTGAGAGAGGACAGTGACCATTATTTACCAGGAAAACTCTACCAACCTTATCGAGCAAATCCTCAGATAAAAGAAAGTGCTTATAGAATGCACAAAAACAGTGATACAGAAATAGAGGAAGCATTGCCTTTCTTTCCATCTCTCCTGTCTCCCTACATACACCACATTGGTACATTTTTTTCCTTGGATACAATGTTTCCTATTAGGATTAGGTATCAGGAAAATTGACAGTATGCCACTCCCTTTGATACTGTGTTACTTTTAACCTCAATGAAATGAAGTAAAGGAGACTGGTGTGGCATCTAAGCTCTACACGTCCTTGCAAGTGGCAATATAAGGTTTAGAACGATAGATTATTCCAAGAAAATCAGCAATGCATGTCCTGGTGTCACAGCCACCCCTGTGGCTGGCTGTAGGGAGTCCCTGCCAAGGGCAAGCGTTGCTCAGAACTCCCGCCCCGCGCCCAGGACTGCATCACCGTCCACACTCTCCTGTGAGTTCAGGATCCAGCTCGGAGCCCCGGCTCAACCCTCTTCTTTACTGACTCTGTGGTAGTGGGAACGCCTCTCGAGCACTGCAGGGACTTTCATTGCTAGGGCCCATTACTAGGAATATAAAAGATAAAACTAAAAGATAGGTTCCCACTTAACAAAAAGCTGAAGCCCCCATTCCAACACAGAAACATCTCTAGCTTTTAGGTAAACTAAAAAACTCACATTGTGACTACTATTCATGTTCACTTTATTCTGTGGGCTTACAGAATTTTTTCTTAATCCCCTAGGGCTCTTAGGTTTTTGAACTCACACTGTGCTCTTTGATCTTTAATTTTCTCTCCTCTCTCCCTCTCTCCCCCTCTCTCTCTCTCTCTCTCTCACACACACACACACACACACTTCTTTCAGGAGCTGACAAGGTCAAAGGACCCACCAAATCTCCATCTTCAGAAGCATCTTCAGCATCTTTGGGACTGGGATGCTTCCACACTTCTATGCCCAAACTCTCCTGGTAGCCTCTGCCCCGTAACGGCTGTGCCTTCCTCTTCACTGCACCCCCCACACGCGGCACCGGGTCTGGTACACACAGTACTTAACTCGTACTCGCTACACCAAAGAATAAATGACCCAGCACTCCCACAAGTTGGGGACACTGGGTCTGCTCTTCTCTGGGTGAAGTGGACAACTTCACAGAAGTTGAATTTGGCTCAAAACCCAGGACAGCCCAGTATTTAGGAAACATCCCTTCAAACAGGATCATCCAGAAGTTCTTCTGGAATAAAATACAAGCCTCGAGAGTAAGAGACATGTGAAAACAGGGCTGTTTCCTCAGAGCCCACGCCACCGCACCCGTGTGGACAATGAAACCACCGCGTCCTCCACTCCGTGCCCCTGGCACGGTCCCCACCCAGCAGCTCCACAGAGGCCTCCCTGTCCACCGTTCCAGGCATCACAGCCGGAGAAACTTCCACAGGACAGTTCTGGCACCAGCCTGAGGGCCCAAAACCCTCAGTGGGTCTTCGTTACAACAGAACAGCCCCCAAATCTTCAGCATGGTGCGTTCAGGCCACGATTTGCCCCCATATCCACCAGACCGATTTGTTCCCACTACTTCTTCCCCACACAGAGAGAGACGCCAGGGTCCAAGCAGGTGGCAGAGGCCGACTCTCTGGCGGCTAAAAGACAGTGGCCGAGGGGCTGCAGTCAGAGCCCCCAAGGAGGGCGAGGGGTCCAGCGAAAGCCTGTGTTCCTGTTTGCCCCGACAAAGGTCTCACTAACTCACCGGGAAATGCAGGCTTCTCAGCAAACAATGCCAAAAAGTTTTTCAAAATTCTCAAATGGAATGATTAAAAAGAGTATTTTAAACATATAGAGTCAACAGGCATGGCACGTAACTACCTATCCGCATGTGTTCCTTTATTGGCCAAGGAAGTTCTCGTGAAGAAAAGGAAACCATGAAAAGCTAAGGGGAGCCACTGGCTTCCACATGCCGGCCAGGCAGACAGGGAGGTGATGAGCCTCAGGCGCCGTTTTCCGTCCCTCCGCGGCCACGGCCCTGTGCTGGTGCTCAGAGGCTGCGCGGGGGAAACCTCGCGCTCACTGCTGCCCAGAAGCTGCCTCCCTAGAAAGAGGCTTGTGTGTGTGCACGTGTGGCACGTGTGGCACGTGTGGCACGTGTGTGTGTGCTCGCGCGCGAGTACGCGCTCAAGTGCACTTGAAACCCTCCCGGGAAACCTCTGCCTCCCAGGCTGTGGTTCCTCCAGCTCTGAGGGTCCTGAGGGGGAGCCTTTCTGCAGGGGCGCGAGTCCGCACTTGGGGTCACACAGCCAGCGACTGAGTTCACTTGACCTCCCGGAATGCAGCTCGGTGATCCACGGGTAGAAGAAAAGCCGGGTGTTCACCAAGATCTCTGGCCACATCCCGGCACTTGGGAGGCATCCATTGTGAATTACAAAGCAGAGGTTTCCCAGTGTCCTGAGAGACACGCAGACAAAGAGCAACAGAAACCCAGGGGATGATGCTTTGCCTGCACGATTCTCCCTGTTTGCTGGGCACAGTGTACATATGTATTTCCCAGTCCCTCGTGAGAGACGTGTTCTCTTATCGAGGCAAGGGCGGGGTGAGCCCCAGAGAGGTTCGAATGTAGCACTCCTGATGGAACCGGGCCCCTGTCCATTGTATGAGGACTGTTACTAAACTCTCTCAGAACGCTAATGAGCTTTCCTGCTTCCATCAGCAGCTTCCAGCAGCTCCGATGCTGAGGCTGCACAAGGCGCGGGGGTTCTCTGCAGCAGAGCGTGAGCGGATGACAGCATCTGCGCTCTCTCAGGACGGCCTCTGTGATCACTCGCTGGTTCAAAGGGATGGGCCAGGGCTGAGGGGCGGGGGAGCCAGGGGGACCTACTTCCTGAGGAGGCCCTGGCTGGCCAAGGAGGGAAGGTGATGAAAAGACCGGGGTGAAGTTTCGGGGTGCCCTCCTGTGTGACCTGCACCCCTGCCCCACCCAGCTCCTCCTCCAGCACGAGTGGTTCCATTTTTATGGGGAAGCAAGGCAGGGAAATGCACAAGAATCTGCTTCTGCTAAGAATGTTCTCAAAAAAAAAAAAAAAGACTTAGAACAGAAAAAGCTACAAAGTGTCCTCAACTGCCAGTATCATTGAAAAAGGCCTCCGTGGCTGAGTGAGCACATTCAACAACAAGGATTGCAGCATTCTGCACTTTCAGCCAGCGAGTGAAGGCCGAGTGTCCTACATTAAATTTATTTGATAAGTAGATTATTATAATTTCTGTAAAACTGAAAATTCAAAGAGAAATGGTTAAATACTGAACTTTAATAGTAGCAAAAATGGCCCTATCAGTGCATTACACCATATAACTATTGACTTTTGAGGATCATGCCAGACACTATGTTGACTTTTCCTGGATGGAAGAGCTTGACCAGAATCTAGGAGAGAATCTTGTGTAATACACTGACTTCCTTGAATGCATCTTAGAAAATGGCACTGTGACTGATTCCATTTTTAAGTGGCCTACCGTAGGGCGTTAGACACATTTTCTCTAAAGGGCCAGAGAGGAATATTTTAGCCTTTGTAGGTCACACCATCTCTGTCCCAGCTACTCAGCTCTGCTGGTGTAACATGAAAGCAGTCACAGACCATATGGAAACAAGTGAGCACAGCTGTGTTCCAATAAAACTTTACGCAGAAAAACAGGCGATGGGCCAGATTTGGTCACAGGCAAACTTCTGGTCTACAAGAACTTTCTTGGGAAAAGCTTTTCCTCCAATACACTACTTTTAAACTCCGGCACAGCAGAACCCTCGGGTACTGTTGCTTTACTACAGTGGTTCTCAGTCCTTGGCTCTCTATTAGGAAAGGCTACACATTCTGGGAAGATTTGAAGAATTCTGTTGCCAGGCTGTATCTCAGACTGAAGAACCCGTGGTTGTAGGGCCCAGGCATTGGTAGTATGTGAAGCTCCACAGAAGATCTAACGTGCAGCCAAGGCCGAGAGCCCCTGTGGAGGAAGTTTCCGGCAGCAAGTGTCAGTAACGGTTCAGCCACCTTACGTTCTCTCTGTCCTGCGTCCAATAATCTAGTAACTGCAACTCATCTGTAGCCAGAGAACAACTTCATCCTTGTAAGAAAAGGGAAGACGACGCTCATCACAGTTCGAGTGCCTGCGTTGTGCCAACTCCTGAAATCAGCATTTCACCTTTCATGAATTATCATCGTATCCACTGACTTATGAAGAAACTGAAGTTCAGGGAGCTTATATGACTTGTGCAGACACCACAGCAGGTGAATTTATACCCGAGTTGGACTCCCGAGCACAGGTGCTGTTTGGCTAGTCTCACCCCCTCCCCTCCGCTAAGGAGAACAGGAGAAGTCAAGTCTCACAAAGCTCTTAAGTTAACCACGGGGGGCCACCCAAGAGCGGAGGCCCTGATCAAAGTACTCATCGTGGTCTCGTGGTGTCGTTAGAACGTGTTCTCAGCTCACAGAACTACTGTCACATTCCTGTAATTCATCACCTGATATACAGATTGATAACTTCACAGCCTTTCCTCATACAAAGAGAGCTGAAGAAAATACTTTTTCTTTAAAAAAAAACCCACTGAAATGTACTAAGTTTTTTTTTAAATCAGTACACTAGATATTACTTGCAAGTCAATTTTGCTTCCATTATCATTTTTGTGGGTTTTCTTTTTTAACGTCAGAAACATCAAGTCCATGCATTACAAGGAAAGCCAGTGTAAATTACTATAAATGCTGATTAGGCATGCATTTAAGAACAGAAAGCTTTACCACGTTTATTTTAGAATCTGTGATGATTTACTCTGAAACATGGCAATACTGGTGATGAGCCACGTGAGCAATGAACCTGAACCGGCACCCGGGGGTTGGTGACCTACAATGTACTCTTACCTGCAGCTGTACCTTCTACTTGGATTCCTTTGGTACAGTGAGTGGCCACTGAGGCTTGTGCTTGGTTAAGAGTGGAGAA